TGTGACATCTCTCTGTTATGGATGTGAAATTGCCACTTGAGTGTTTTGGTAGATCAAATAGAATACAGATGAATTTTTGAATATTTTTTTTAAAGTACTGTAAAATACTTGCTTACACACACACACACACACACAAAAACATAAACTGTTTCCGTATTTTGGTGAAAACTTAATTTTTTTTCATGGCAAGTTTGACATTTGGACATTCTAGCAGAAATGTACATTATCTATTTCCATGAAGTAAAAACATTAATACAGTGAATAATAAGTATTTAATTCCAAATATTTCTAAAATACACTGATGGTTGACTTCTGCGAGTTGTTCTGTAAAGGAATATGTCATTAATTTTTTTCTCTGATTTTTATCTTTAATAAAAACACTTTACAAATGTACAAACCCTGTCATTGTCCTTGCCCTCAGCCCAAGTGAATCTATAGCTTTAATAGTTTTGTTGTGCTAAAAAACTGTTATTTAGGGAGGAAAAAAAACTTCAGAACTAGATGTTTAAGTTGTTATCATTCACATCAATTAATTAAAAACATGAAATTATAAATACATTCTCCAAATTAATACAACAAATTAGGCATGGGACGGTAGCTGTTTTCAAGATATACTGCAGTTTGAAAAAGTCAAGGTTTTAAAACCTCCAAAATCTTCTGCTATACCGTTCCTACAGTATATGTAAGGTTTTTTTATGTTTTTTATGTTTTGTTTTAAGCTTTTTAGAACAGTAAAAGATATCAAAGATGCCATTTTAAATTGTAATGCAATCTGTGTTTTGGAAACTAATGAAGACAACAGAAGTCAATGATTCATTAGAATTACTTAGCCTGAGATGATTACTGCTCCAAAATATTAGAAAAGTTTCTTAAAATTAAATATTTTGTGTTCAAAGTGGAAAAAAAGGTTTTGTGTTTGACCCAGACATTTAAAAAGAATATAATTTAGAGTAATCCCAATACCGTGAAACCATGATATTGTTTATCCAAGGTTATCATCCCGTCAGAATCTTATACCAACCTATGCCTACTACAAATATATAATACAAATAAATTTACAATTGTCCTCTTGTTTCTGTTATACATCTTTAACTCTGAGAAAGTGGCATCATTTGATGAAGGAGAAGCTAACAGTGATCAAGGATGCGTTCTTTCATTGAATGGTATGATTTTTTAAGGACGACAAGCGTCTGTCAGGCCCTGTCACATTTTTTTATAATTGAAAATGTACGTTTCTGGTAGAATGTCCCATATATTACAATCTTAGTCACCTAAAAGGTAACTAAATGTGTTACTTGGTTAATTTAAAAAAGGAAAGTAATGTGAAAGTTGTGTTATGTTTGCGTAATTTTGTTAAAAGATTAAGGTAGGCTTAACATTTTTATATTTTTACCTATTCTGATCCTAACCCAACAGTGAGGTCAAATATGGACAAATCCAACAGCTGTTTTTTTTATTTATTTTTTATTTAACTTGTTAAAAGATCCATGCAGTTTTAACCCACCTCTTGGGTTTGATAATAGTTGGCTCAGTGTTGGGTTAATGCATTTTTAAGGATTAAACAACTGAACCTGAAACACCTTATTATGTTATGGGAAAGTTATTTTTGAATGTAATGCATTAAAATGTTGAGTTACTCCCTCGATAAGTAACTAGTTGCAATACTTAGTTGTTTTTTACAGTAAGTAATGCATTACGTTACTTTTGGGTTACTTTTGCATTACTTTTTCAGACCTGGCTGAGCTTGATGTCTTTCAGAACTTGTTTTTTTTTTTCTCTTTCTTTTATTAATAGAGGAGCTCTGCAATTAACAAAATACTTTGTAACTGACACACTTTACCTTCAAAAAACACATCAAAATTTATTTTCTGATAATGTTATCTGAGAACTTCCTTACCCCAGAGCTATGCATGCTGTAAATATAGATTATTTTGTTTATTAGATCAATTGTTATTAAAGTTTAAAGCATTTTGTTTGCTACTTTTGTACTATTTGTCTTAAGTAAAATCATTGTCCATTATTTAGACAATCCCCTTTTCCTTTTCTTCGATGTGTTCAAAATAATGAACACAATCTCTCATTGACTGCATGATTAATTGTGAGAACTTTAATTTTAATGCAGCAATTACTTTTTAAAATCTAATTAATTAAAGTAAAAAGTAACTCATGTTACATTTTTAAAAAGGAACTCAATTATTATTGCTTATTTTTTAAGTAATGCGTTTAACTTTACTCGTTATGAGCAACTCATACAGTCCCCTACAGACCTTGAAATTAATATAAAAAATGAAAGCATTTTGTCACTTAAGTGTATAGATATAATAAAAAAATATATAATACAAAATGCTTATACTTTTGACTATTGTAAACCATTTTTATTGTTAAATTTTAACATTAACAACATTGGTACAAAAAGATATATATATATATATATATATCATATTTCCCAAATGATGTTTAACAGAGCAAGGAAATTTTCACAGTATGTCTGATAATATTTTTTCTTCTGGAGTAAGTCTTATTTGTTTTATTTCGGCTAGAATAAAAGCGGTTTGTAATTTTTTATGAACTATTTTAAGGTCAAAATTTTATCCCCTTAAAGCCATTTTTTTCGATAGTCTACAGAACAAACCATCGTTAAACAATAACTTGCCAAAATACCCTAACCATAGTTAACCTAATTACAGTATGTCTGATAAAATTTTTTCTTCTGGAGAAAGTCTTATTTGTTTTATTTCGGCTAGAATAAAAGCAGTTTAATTTTTTTTTAAAAACCATTTTAGGGACAAAATTATTAGCCCCTTTAAGCTATATATTTTTTCAACTGTCTATAGAACAAACCAATGTTTTACAATAACTTGCCAAATTATCCTAACCTGCCTAGTTAACCTAATTAACCTAGTTAAGCCTTTAAATGTCACTTTAAGCTAAACACTAGTATCTTCAAAAATATCTAGTAAAATATTATGTACTGGGGCGACGCGGTGGCGCATTAGGTAGTGCTGTCGCCTCACAGCAACAAGGTCGCTGGTTTGAGCCCTGGCTTGACTTTTCTTTGTGGAGTTTGCATGTTCTCCCCACGTTTGCGTGTGTTTCCTCCGGGTGCTCCGGTTTCACCCACATGTCCAAAGACATGTGGTTCAGGTGAATTGGGTAGACTAAATTGTTCGTAGTGTATGTGTGTGAATGAGTATGTGTGGAGAGATGGGTTGCAGGTGGAAGGGCATCCGCTGCATAAAACATATGCTGGATAAGTTGGCGGTTCATTTGTGCTTGATTTTAAACATAACTTTATTCTTTCATAAGTTATTTACAAGCCCCCTCACATATACTAATGTGCCACAAACAGGACGTTATTTTCACCAACCATTCCCGTTTTATTAGGTTTTTGCATCTAAACTCTTCAAATATGAAAATATACTTATTTTTAAAATACTATTTTTTATCATAATTTTCTTTGGGGAATCTGTTAAAACTTGGTTTAAATTAAAAACTGAAGCCTATAGGCAAATGACAAACTGGCCAGCGCATTCAACCTTCTTCAGTGAGAATTTATCCATTTGAATAATAAGATAAATTCAAACATAATAATAATAATAATCCAACTTTTGGTCTTTCAAACCACCTGACCCCCCTTGGCTACGCGCATGACTATTTAATTTAACTTAATACATTTTAAGAAGAGAGGATTACTTAATAATACATTCAATAGCAGATAAATAATAAATAGCAATATATATATATATATATATATATATATATATATATATATATATATATATATATATATATATATATATATATATATATATATATAGATATATATATAATAAAAGTAGAACAATAAATGAATAAACTAAATAAAGAAAAAAGACATTAAAATAAACAAACACAAGGGGGTTAAACTACATGACACCGATTAAACATTAATTTCTGGGATTTAGAATTTCTCATATAAAGCCTTCTCATTAAAGCCTGAATATTTTTTAAAAAGCAGAGAATTAATAAAGAAAGTTTTAACCACAGATGTGTGGAACATTGCCGCATTTCCTATTTAAAATTCTATATAATTCTATCTATAATACTATAACCCAAATAGGCTAAACATGTATCTAAAATCCTGCTATCTAACGTTATATTTGCTTTTGTTAAAATGTATTTACATTTAGCGTGCATTTAAAAATTTATTTACATTGCTAATGTCATATGTAAAACGTCCACTCTATAAAAAGAAGGGCAGTTGTCATCACTACTGCCGTAAAGCGGTTTAGAAGTTGCCTTACCAGTTTAATATGCTGTTTCAGCATCAGTTTTGTCTTCCAATCGTATGCCACAGTGAACTAAGACAGGCAGCAACGGCTGTTCTCAGAACAGCGTTTTGAAACACTACGACACATCTCAAACTCCGACACTTCCTGTATGTTTACGGCAGCCTGATTTCCTTCCACAAACAGATGTCAGCTGGCTGAGAGATGACATGTTCATGCTGAAAATACAGCAAACAATCAACGACGAACTAAAGTCTGGCAGGCACACATGATTACGTGATGTAAACATCGCTCCGATGTACCAAAATAAGTCCCGGAGCGAGCGCGAAATGGGTGAGCTCAAATGTGTTGACCTGTCAGCTGACTAGCCTGATAACAGCAACTGGGAAATACACGCAAACTCTCGTGTAACTAATGCTTGGAGTTGTGTTGTGGCATGTTTTAACGCGAGTATGTTTGCTTCTTGAATGATGCAGAAAGGTTTATCCACCATTCTGTGAGTGAATGACTTTATTGACGCGCGCGCGCGTGCGTGTTGTTCTTCAAGTTAAGCTTGATTTGTCATTAACGTTACAGCTATGAGAGCTGCAAGAGCTGACTGCCACTCCCAGCTTTTACTGCTGTCAGGAAGCCACTGATGCCCTACATACTACATAGCCTCCACTAAAGAAAGAAACACACTAGTGGTTTATGTTTAATCCACCAAAGAGCATTTGGAGCAAACGACAAATCATGTGGCTTCAGCAGAGATTAAAGGGGCTGCCCAGTTTGCTCTCCAGCAGCTGGGCCCGTCGTGTTTTGGTTGGACTACTGGTTTTCCTCATTTTCTACTACTGGTTCCTAAGTTCAGATGGCTTGCTGAAGCTGTTCAGCATGTCCAGGGAGCCCGGGGGGGCTGCGGGGGTGTGTTTGCAGACTGATCTTCACAGGTGGGTGTCTATGGCGGACCGAGGGGATGGAGTAGTTCACACCCCTCAAACCAAAGAATCTGGAACATTTGTGGTCGGCAATGGACATTTTCTAGTGGATGTGGATTCCAATAAACTTTGGGTTGCTTCATCTACGCAGCCTGGATCTGCACCGGTTCACCAAACCGACTACAGCCCGATTGCGCGGTTGCAGGTGCCAGGAACGCGCTCCGAAGCGCAAGCCATGATGCTGTGGTATAGAAAAGGCTCAGTTCTTTCCTCTCGGTGCTTCCAGACAGCCAAATCTCAGTCTTCTCGTGACTGCATTGTCATACGAGAGGAGTTCATTGCGCACCGCAGCCGACACAATGTTCATCTCCAGAGAATCCTCATATCAAACCCTACAGATCACATGGTTTCCGTTGACATGTCCTTGGAGTCTCTTTCATTTAGGAGCAAAATGGAGAAGATGGACGATAAAGAGTTTGCGGTGTCCTCCGGAAGGGTGCTCACTGAAAAGAAGGACACCGTGTTGGTGGTGGTGGCCACGAATAGAATAAGCAACAAGATTCAGGTTCCTTCTAAATCCGAGTACTCGGCAAACCTGGTGAGCGTGATTCACACTTCAGAGCCCACTGAGGGCGGGAAACTGGACGACACCTTGGATAAACTCAGAGACAGAGTCCGAAAAGAAATGGTGGATGTCCTCCGGGTTGATGTTGAAGAATTGATGCAGGAGCATCAGCAAGCGTGGGTGGATCTCTTCATATCTGGTACGTTGATTGAGTCTGATAGTTTTTATTAATATAATGTTGTTATTATAATAATCAAAAACATTTCCATTATTGTATGATATATTGCACCAAAATATATCGTCACCTTAAAATAATAAGGTTCTATCTGACATTTTTGTCAAAATTGAGTTGACATATTATTAAAAGACAACTTATTTACATTATGGGATGTGTTTTTATAAGTTGTTTACATTTTAAGACTTTTTATTTAAAGGGCCATGAAACCCCCTCGTTTCAGCAGGGTGTTTTCACACCTCTACTTTGGAAAAAGTCAGAAAAGTGGGTGTGTCCAGCTCTGTTTAGGGGGGAGTGTCGGAGGAACTAAAGTGGGATGGTGTGGGATTGTCTATTTGGGAACGCTAGAGTTTCAGAGTCAAAACACACACACACACACACACACACACACGGGAGAAAGGGATGGTGTTTACATGGACATCTGTAGTCGAATTATTTGCCAAATTATTAAATGGTGGACTTTAACTGCAGTTTGGCTCTTTCATTTAGGGAATTCATTCATTCATTCATGAATATTTGATTCGAGGAACTGCTGTAAGCGTGTATTTTTCATGCAATGTTTGATCCCGTAAAAAAAAAAAAAAAAACCCTCCGCATTTCCCGGAAACTTAGATGCACACGGCAGGTAGCGTCAGAAAGCCGCGTGTGTTATTCCGGTCACTAAATGCGGTAAAAACCCTACACGAGGTTAAAGTTTGGTTGTGATGCTAACGTGTTTACACTCGGTGACTCGGTGCAATAGTTAACTTAGTTCGATACGAGCAAACTGAATAAACAAAGAGCACTGGTCGCTCACTTACCAAATCTGTAGAGACAGGACAATCACCAGTAACTAGAGCCGCGTCTTTATGAAGAGGAGACTACAAGCGAATCCAGATCTCAGCGTTTGGAGATGAGTACAGCTCTCAGGTAAACAATAAACCTCCTTAGACACGTAAGTTATTGTTGTCGAGCGTCGCGTACACTGTTAATCCACACGTGACGCCAGCTGCGCTCTCACAGAGAGAAAATGAAAACAAAACTTAACGGCAGCAAACTATAAAAGCAACACTTCACGCTTGTTTTGCCAACACAACGTGGCGTCTCTGTCGTGAAAACACTGTGACACTAATGAATATTAATGAAGTTGCACAATAGAGCGCGCTGATTGGTTTGAACCAAGCTTTACTCATGCATTAATGCAGCACACTGTAAGACGTAATAAGACTCACTCTGGCACAGACGCCCAGTCTGCACGCTGGAATACAACGCTATTATGTCATGACCGTGACGCAGCTTTAAAAATTAGTTTCAAACCGGAAGTACGAATTTGCTTGAAATAACGCAAAAACAACCAATTTACACTTTTTAGTGAAATATAGGTGTCTTAATAGTGTTTATAGCAGTGTGGGACACATATACGACTGTCAACAACTCAAAAAATGTGTTTTGGTGTTTCGTGACCCTTTAAAAAACAAAACGATTTATCTACAAAGTCAACCCTTAGCTTGACTCTTTAAGGTTCTTTCTGGGAGCCAATCAGTATTTTTAATGCACGCACGAGGACCAATCAGGATCAGCTTTCTTTGTCATTTTGCCGGACTGCTCCATTGTAAGATCAGAAAGACAAAATCACACAAAATCAGAGTCGGCTAAATAATGGCGCACCACACAAATTGAGATGTGCGTAAATGTGAGGATTTAGAAGCATTTTGTGACACTGAGATTAAATTTTAAATTTTACACTGTTAAAAAAAAGAAACGAAATAAAAAAAGATGTATATATTAAATGTGAAAGATTTTTATTTGTGTATATATAGTCAGTGAAACACTTTTCAGTGTTTATGAAACTCATTTCAAAGAGCTTAGAATGACCAAGAGGCGACACTCTAGTGTAATTTGGGAAACAGCCACTAGAGGGCGCGGTGGCCATTTTGGAATAAAAACTCCAATAGAACAACAGCATATTATAAGTCTGTAAAATAAATGATTAATAAGTGTTGTATTGTCGTCTTTTAGGTTGTATCTCAGCTTTAATACGCTTTTTAAATAGATAAATAAATAAACAAAGCAGCTGCGTGCCATCGCAAAAGTAATGAGATCCAATGGACGGCCGATCACTTTCACTCCAAAACGGCGGAATCCAGGGCTGTTGCTGGGCGCTGCTGTTGCGATGGAACGATCTATTGAGTGTCGCCTCTTGGTCATTCTAAGCTATTTGCTCATAGTCTGTTTTCTTTTAAAGTCTTTAAATGTAAGACTAAGCCTTGAAGGGCAAATGCATTATTTAATTCATGGGGCATATAATTCAATAAATATAGCATAAAATTCAATAAATATAATTCAATAATTCATATAAAGCATACAGTTTAAAAATGATGACCATATTAATTATATAAAATTAACATCTGCACTGGATAACATATTCAACAAAGCCTTGTATGTTAAATTTAAACAAGTAAAAATATTCATCCTAAAACATTAACTAAATGTTATAGACAGCAAAAAGGTTACTTTCTCAAGCATCAACATATTGTTACACCACCAAATTATATATTTTTTGATTGTACTTCTTGAAAAGTAATGCTTCAATGAATGATCTGCCAGATAGAACCTTATAATTCCAAGCGGAAAATGACTTTTCAGAGTTAGAAGGTTCTGTCTGCATTTACCGTGGTTTATTTTACTCCAATTTGCAAATGTAAGAAAGTTTTGATAATTTATATTGAGTACTTTTAGGGTCTCTGTCATGTTAATGTATGAAAGAGAACTGTTAAACACATATTATTAGTTATATGTAGGGCCAAATGGATTCTGCGGACGTTTTTTGCTATTTCTGCAGAGAATTTTGGTAAAAATCTGCGGGTTTCTGCGGAATTATTTTGGGAGTGTTATAACTAAAACATTAATACGTGAAATAAAAAATTAAATCTTTTTAACTTTAATGTTTAAAATGCAAATCCAATTAGATCCACTTTATTTGGTAAACAAAGCAACTCTCTCATATAATATATCTATTAAATAGCAGAAAATATTACTTTACAAACTGCATTGTACATTAATCAGATGAACATTTTCACATTAGTCAATAATACAATACAACTTTATAATTCTAAGCTGACGATATTGAGGTAATTGTCAATTTAAGGCCATTTTATGCCACTCATTACACAATTCCAGAATGATTTTTTTTTCTAATGAATATTTAATTTAGTTATATTTAATTTTAACAGTTTAATAATCAGGCCTTGGAGTCAGAATGTGAAAACACATATCCTAAATAAAAAATAATTAAACAAAAAAAGAGCAAGGTAAAAAGTAACAGAGGCTGCGATATCTGCTACCAGATCTATTGTCAGTTGTCAGACACCCACATGAAAACATGCTTAAGTAATTTATAGTAAATACTATAGTGTTTTTTTTTAAAACATACTGACCCTGAAACCTCCAATAGTGATAGAGGGCATGCTTGTCCCCCCTCCCGTCTCCCCCGACGGCCCGCACTCACATTGCATCCGAGCCAGGGCACCCTTACGTCATCAATGATGCACTGTTTAGTTTAACAGAAGAGAAGCACTCTCACTCAGCGCAGTGGAGATTTCTTTAGTTATATCATTTAAGTCGTTTAATATGCAGTGAGTGACAGGCAGTCAAATATTTCGCTGAATAGATCAGCCGCATTTGACGCATAAAAGTCCTCGTGCTGCAGGTATTAGGTTTGCTGAAGGTGCAGTGAGGGGTTTGTGTCTTTAATAAACTATGACAGTTTGTGTTCATTGAACAGTAAGAATGATTAATTAATCCATATGAAACAGTCCCTTTAAAGTGACATTGCGTCTTCAGTTTCGAGCTCAGGTGTGTTTTGCACACACACTACAAGTGTACCGCGACAAAGCCCAAGTGAACCGTGCTCTGGCACACCTCTTCCAACCGGGCCAGGGCCGGTCAACTGAACCCTGCCTGAGCCCGATTCAGAGTACTCACACTACTCAAATCAGGAAACGCCCCAGGGCACGATTAGGATAGCGTGATGCACCCAGAGATGTTGCGCAATCATGTAAAATGTGGCCAAATTTTTATGTATGAGTGGTATATATTGAGGTCATTTCCATGTGTTGTGCGATAAGTCGATATATTGATTATTGTGACAGGCCTAGTCGGGCCATCAGTCAGAGGCAGTTCGGGTAGATGGTTTGGTGTAGAGATCTGCGCGGGACTAAATTTTGAATCCCGCTCCCGCCCGCACCCGCCAGGTTTTAGCCCGAACCCGACCGATCCCGCTTATATTAAGAATTTGTTGTCCCGCTGCCCGCCCTGCCCAGTTTTCTGCCCGCCGTGCCCGATCCCGCTAAAGAGCGGGGGAGAACAAAACCGAAAATCACCCAGCTATACAGTCCAGACAGCCAAGCTGTCTGTATAAACACACACACACAGACAAAGCTCTCTCTCTCTCATAAGCAGGTCGCACACCTGAAGCGCCGCCGCGCAGCACCATGCATTTTAGAATTCTAAACATAGGTTTCTAACAGGATACACACACCGGCGCCGCAATTTGTCGGCGGCGCCCGGCCACGGCTCAGGACGCAGTTCATTTTTCAGCCGCGCCACAGAGCGCCATCTGATTAGTTTTATGTTAAATATCATTAGAATGTGCGCGTTTGGTGTGTGATACTTTAATAATGTCATGTGCGCGGCGCCGAGCAGCGCTTCTGGTGTGCGACCTGCTATATGAGCGCGCGCACTAACACACACACACACACACATAAGCACCAAGCACACACATAGGGCACAGCTCTCTCTCAGTCACATAGCAATATCCGCGATATTGCTAGACAGCCCGCTCCCGTCCCAAATTAAACTCGTTACCGACCGCTCCCGCGATTTATTCGGAAATTTATTCCCGCGCCACAGAAATCTGGTCGGGTCCCGCGGCGCCCCTGGAATGCAGACCTCTAGTTTGGTGTGCTCTAGGGCTTTACGATATTGAAAAAAATCTAATATTACAAATACAGTTTCACAAGATGGTTTAAATGGCACTATTTGACTGATTTCTCAACAGTATCTTGATGCAGCCTTTATGATGCAAGCTGAGACTGCATCACTTAGCGATGTAATGTCAGACATAATGCACTCAAATGGAGCGAGTGACGTCACTTTGACGGGTAGGGTTAGGGGTGGGGTTAGGTGAGCCCATTAAAAAGCATTGGATGCAGCCCAGATTGCACTGCACCAGGTTTGCAGCCAGACCCCTCTCAGATTTCTAGGGAGTCTAAGTTTACTCTGGTACAGAATCTTCTCTTACTTTGCTTTGTTTAATTTCTAGTAATCCGCCCACTTCAGCGGGAATCAGGCAGATAAAGCACACCACATCATCACGAAACTATTAAAATTAGGACAACCAAAACAAAGAAATGAAACGTTACTGTACAGCAGTACAATGTATGTCTATACGCACATGCCTGTGTGTTCTCATTTATCATAGTCATTTACTCGCCGACCGACTGTTGGCATTGAAATCCAGTGGTCTTGCCATTAACGGAGGGACCCAGCGCAGGGAGCGCACACATCCATAATATAAAACCACATATATAAACTTCTCCGTTAATAACTAGACATAAAATGTATTTTATAACATCCTCTAGACAGACGTTGTCCAACATTCATCCCAAATGCTCCGGAGAGAACTGAAACAGGAACTTTTTACCTATAGGCTTTATGACACTTAATAGGTGATTCCCTTTATTTAAAGATGTTGCTTATTATATCTTAAGTAAAAGAAAGTGTTAAGTGATTCAGCACATAAGAGCAACATGTAATAAAATATAGCTAATATTTTGTTGTGCTCAGCAGCTATGCACTAATAAAGCTCTTTATGTATTTAACATTTGCTTTTTTAATTTTACCACGTCATATAAAAACATTAACACTTGTTTGAGGACACAGAACACATTTCGAACGTGCAGTTTTCCCCGATGCGTCTGTAAAGTGCTGCGCAGCTGCAGACAGAAAAAAGGTCGCCTAGTTTTTGCTTTCACTCAATCCTGAAAATGCTCTGTTTGCATGATTTGATTAATTTCATCGTATCCAAATACTTTATAAATAACATTTAAAACATTCTCCGGAGTTTATTGTTTTTAGAAAATATCTAAAATCTTTTTTTCAGAGAGGCTTTTGAAAAATGAAAGTTTAATATGGCTTTAAAACAGTTTGATATAGTACCTAATTGTTATAGCTATAGCTTTTGTTAGTTTGATATTGGTTTATTTATTTAATTTGATTTTATTATATCTGATATTTGTAATTCTTTAAATTATTTCAATATAGCTTAGGTTATTTTATCTAGATATGACACTGTTGTTTTGAGCCTACAAAAGTGGACACGAAATTTGTAGTTTAATGTCTTTCTGTTGTATTCATATAGTGTATTATCTCCAAAATAAATAAAAACAAAAAATAAAAGAAAAAAGCCGCTCGCGGCATCAACAGAGCTATGAAGGGATCGCTCATTTCCTCGGTCACACACACACACACACACACACACACAGGCATCTAAAACTCTCGAAAACCTTTACTGTCTGCTGTGTCTTTACTATGGTGTAAAGATTATTATGTGTTATTAAAACATCAAGGAGGACGCAGCAAAGAAAAGTCACTTATAAATTAAAACTACTTTATTGTTTTATGCAACAGCCTTACATTTAAAAGAGCAACATAAGGGCGATCATACGCAAAAAAAACCCAGCCTATAATTTGTTCCAGATGTTTTCTTTCCCTTATTTATTTATTTGTTTATGTGTTTGGCGCATGTACTCCTGTGCAATCGGAAAACTGTCCCTGCCTCGCCTTTCACTCCGCCCCGAAGCCCTGGCTGGCCCTCTTTGGCCCACGTTATTCGGCAGGCCGAAAAAGGCCGGCCGCTGGCCCCAAAAAAGCCCCGATTTGGCCCGATTAGGCCCTGGAAGTTATAGTGGAAACGCGACTGGCCTTGACTCGCCCTGGCTCGCTCACTTTAGGCGCGATGGTGGAAACGCGGCTAATGTTTGTTTGAGAGTGCACAAGAAAATCTGTGCTTAAGCAGCGTAAACTACAGAGCGTGCAAGAAGTTTGATCTGGACTTGTAATACTGCGCTCACGACATTTGTCATTGAAATAACGCCACTGGTAGTTGTTAGATCTGTGTAAAAGGTCTGCCGCCACAGCTGGAAAAAATCCTAGAGGAAACACTGCATAGATATGCTGATTTTTCTTTTTTTAAAATGCAAAATCCCAGTACAGTCACAGTATTAGTTTTGGGAAAACATGTATTATTGCCTTTATTGCAAAAAATGTGCAGCATTTAAGAAAATAATGAAAGGGCTCTTCACCTTAAATTTATTTCAAATAATTTTGTTAAAAAACCGTGACTAAATTGTAGCATGAGATTAGTATCATGAATCATATCAAATCGTGAGTCAGATGAGCTGTTACATTCCTAAAAACAAGACAAAAATTCTAAGTAAGAAACTTTTTTTGTGCATAAAGTGTATCAAAATTCCATATACTGTAACTAAATACAATTCTGTGGCTCCAGTTCAGCTCTAAATTAGAGTCGACGTTGCATATCTTGTGATGTGACTATTGCGGGTGCACACATTGCAATATCAATGCTGAAATGAAATATAGTGTGTTCCAAACATCGCTTCTCAACGGGTTAATGTCACCATCAGCTTGGTGTTTCCTGGCCTTTAGGCTTTCTAATATGAGTTTACTTTGATTCTTTTTCAGGTGTGGAAATCCGAAAGATCACAGATGCCCACACTCCGTCCAGTCGAACAGTCAACAACACCCTATACTACATTCTGTCAACCTCCACGGCGCCTCTACTGGACCAAAGCCTCACCTCCGAAGACCACGAGCACCTGGAGTCCAGTCTGAATTATGCTGATCACTGCTTTAGTGGCCACGCCACCATGCATGCAGAGAACCTCTGGCCAGAGCGGCTAACAAACGTAGCACAGATCCTTCAGCTCGTGAATCTCTGGAACTTAACCCTTCAGAAAAGAGGATGCAAGGTGCTGGTGGCTGCAGGAACTCACGGCATGATGCAAGGTATGGTCCTTAGCTTCGGCGGTCTCCAGTTCACCGAAAACCACCTTCAGTTCCAGGCTGATCCAGATGTTCTTCACAACAGCTACTCTCTGAGAGGTATCCATTACAATAAAGATCTTATCAACCTAGCGGTGCTGCAGGACATCGAAGGAAAGCCGTTCCTGCACGTTTCCGTCAAGCCTCAGGAGAAACCGGTCAAGCTGTACGCCTGCGAGGCCGGTTGCATGAACGAACCTGTGGAGCTGACCTCAGAACTGAAAGGACACACGTTTCCAGTAATGGTCACCCAGCCTATCACGCCGCTACTCTACATCTCTACTGATCTCACTCACCTTCAAGACCTGAGACACACGATGCACGTCAAGGCCATCTTGGCTCACGAGGACCACATGGCCAAACAGTACCCCGGCCTGCCTTTCCTCTTCTGGTTCAGTGTGGCGTCCCTCATCACGCTCTTCCATTTCTTCCTCTTCAAACTCATCTACAACGAGTACTGCGGACCCGGAGCCAAACCGCTCTTCAGGAGTAAGGTATAAACGGTCACAAGAAGACAAGCCATTCTTTGGGGGCATGGTGGTGGTGGTGGTGGTAACTGTGATTGACTTTTCCCCCTCTCGCTTAAATCTCAAACTCTGCCTTGCAAGATATTTTTACCTCTGGAAACTGAGTGATGATAATTGCTTTGGGTAACCCATCAAACTTTCAATCTGCTGTAATTGGAGGGTCTGGAAATAGTTGTCTGCAATCTTCAGTTTGGGTGTTCTCTTTCTACGAACTTGCGCTGAAAGCACCAGTGCTATAAAGACACTATTCGGTGGACTTTGATTTGTTTAGTCCCCCGCCTCGTTCTCTCTGACACAAATGGAATTGATTTGCGTCGGGAGATGAAAAAGATATTTATTTTTTTTATATAAATATAAATATAAGAAATGCGAGTCCGCTTTGCAGAATAACCATTTGCTAATTATGTTCGAAGGACAATTTTTTGAATGTAATTTATCTCATGACTTTCTCATTTTTTATACGTAGTTTTACAGCTAAAAGAAATCTGTTTAGAGTATTTAATTCAATTTATCGACGGGATAGCAGGTGAGGATTTGATTTTTATTCGATCTGAAATTTGTGTGTGAACTTCTCACTGGTGCCTTCAAGTCTTTCTTCTTCCAAGTTGGTTTAAGGGGTTTGGTTTCTTTGAAATCTGCTTTCTTTTGTTTGGGGTTTGTTTACATTATGGGGTCTCGTTTTGTGCATTGTGCATTTTGCAGAACTTTCTTCTTGTTGCTGTGCTGAAGTGAATCTGCTGCTGATTTGGCTCATTTTAGCCCAAATTCATCAACGTTTTTCACTCATCACATTCACCTACACCAAAATGTTACGTCAATGCTGATGGCTGTTTTGGTAAAACATGTTAAAAACTGTTAACATGACATCCATTTTGGGTCATTCCACCTCAAAATCAAAAGTAAATTTAATGAAGCTTTGTATAAGAAAGAAGCTACTTTTAGGGACTATTTTTGTCAATTAAAGCTGCATAAATTCTCATTATGAATGCTTAGAAATGCTTAAAAAACTGAAAACAAGAATTTTATGATTGTAAAATACATTATAAATCTAAAAGAGAAGTAATACTGTGTATTCCAATACTAAACTTATTTATTGAAGCGCTGAGAGTCTTAAGAATCAAATTGGACAAGATGAGAATTTAAAAATAATGGCTTCATTTTTTTTTTTTTAATCAAATATAGTATTAGAGATGCCCCCAAACATGTTTTCTTACAATCACCAAATCTACACTAGTCAAATCCTAGTTTAGATGTGTTTAGTCTACTGTAGTCATTGATTTCAGAAAATCCATTGAAGGAATCCATATGTGTGAGTTTGACTGTAATTTAATTAGTTCATGTTTTGGAGCACAAAATGCAATTGGGGTGTTTATAAAAGGCTATTAGACTTGTATCACTTTTGTAAATGTTGAAGTAAGCAAGTGCAGTTTCTCATGGTCTGATGTGTAAATGATATCTCTGCTGCACACTGTATGCACTGATATCATACACTCTGAGCCGCACTCTGTTACAACGCCGACAACAGATATGAAAAGTTCCACAAGCTCCCAAAAGGAAACTCTTTTAATTGTCCATCTATTATTTACTTGTTAATGTAATGGCTTTGCACTGTTTGCCGTGTGGGTCTCAAAATTGTTTTTATGTTGAAGTAATCGAGTGTTTTTTTTTCTTTCTCTCGCTCTCCAATGTTACATTTGTTCAACTTTTGTTTGTTGTGTTCTGATTAAATTAACTAATCAAGATCATCATAATCATGGTCATTTACATTTATTTTAAAATCTAATACTGTGACGTTTAATAGCATTATACTCTTCGCTGATGTGAAATGAGCGCCACAACTGAGTTGATTCAAAATGTGTCTACTATTTGCATTAGTTCTAGACAATATAATAGAAAATATGCCCATCCATAGTAATAACATTGTAAAACATCCCAATTGATCTAAAATTATAAATTCTTTCAAGGGCTAAAGAAAGAAAGAAAGAAAGAATAAGAGACGAACGATCGAAAGAGCTAACAAATGAACGAACAAATGACCGAAAGAAAAAGAACAAACGAAAGAAAAAACGAATTAAAGAAAAAAATGAACCAACCAAAGAATGAACGAAGCAAAGAAAGAATGAAAGAAAGCAAGAACAAACAAAGGAACAGAAGAAAGAACAAACAAAAGAAAAATAAAGAAAGAACAATTAAATGAAAGAAAAAACAAAAAGAAAACAAACAAAAGAAAGAACAAACGATAGAACAAAAAAGAAAACAAACAAAAGAAAAAACAAAAAAGAAAATGAACAAAAGAACGAACGAACAAACTAAAGAAAAAAAAGAAAACGAACGAAAGAACGAACGAAAAAAAGAACGAATGAAAGGAAGAACGAACGAGAGAACAAAAAAGAAAACGAACAAAAGAATAAACAAAAAAGAAAGCAAACGAAAGAAAGAACAAACGAAAGTCCAAACTAAGGAAAGAGCGAATGAATGAACAACTGAAAGAAAAAAATTAAGAAAGAACAAACAATATAGTGAAAGAAAAAAGCAAAAAAAAGATAGAAAGAACGAACCAACCAAAGATTGAACGAACAAAAGAAAGAAAGAACAAACAAACAAAAAAGAAAGAACAAACAATAAAGAAAGGACAAATGAAAGAAAGATAAAAAAGAAAGAACAATTGAACGAAAGAAAAAACGAAAGAAAGAACAAACTATAGAGAGAACAAATGAAAGAGAAAAAAATAAAGAAAGAACAAACGAAAGAAAGAACAAACTATAGAGAGAACAAATGAAAGAGAAAAAAATAAAGAAAGAACAAACGAAAGAAAGAACAAACTATAGAGAGAACAAATGAAAGAGAAAAAAATAAAGAAAGAACAAACGAAAGAAAGAACAAACTATAGAGAGAACAAATGAAAGAGAAAAAAATAAAGAAAGAACAAACGAAAGAAAGAACAAACTATAGAAAGAACAAACGAAAGAGAAAAAAATAAAGAAAGAACAAACGAAAGAAAGAACAAACTATAGAAAGAACAAACGAAAGAGAAAAAAATAAAGAAAGAACAAACGAAAGAAAGAACAAACTATAGAAAGAACAAACGAAAGAGAAAAAAATAAAGAAAGAACAAACTATAGAAAGAACAAACTATAGAAAGAACAAACGAAAGAGAAAAAAATTAAGAAAGAACAAGCGAAAGAGAATGAAAGAAAGAAAAAAGGAAAGAGAGACAAAGAAAGAAAGAGAAAAAGAATGAAAGTCATAGGAATTGAACTCGAATTAGCCACTAAACTATCAAAAATAGATCGGCACAAGCATGTAAAAGAGATGTGTACCTGCAAAAGACTAGCTGGTATAGTATCGTAAGATTAATTTATTGTATTGCGATAACCCTAGCGCCCATATAAATGACATTTTATGTGCCAAGAGTTTGAGTGTTGCAGGTTGTTTATTAAAATTTGACCAATATTGGACAGACCGGCCTAAAGGTGAACTTCTTCAGGTGCTGTTTACACTAGTACGTTTTACTTTTAATGTACATACTTTTTGTTATGGTTAACCCGACATCCACAAACCTCCAGTAATTACTTATATTATTCAATAAATTACCAATTAATTGTATTTTCAGTAATGTCTACCCTAAACCCAACCCTCACAGTAATGTAAAAACAGTAACTATACCAGGTAATATTCATGTTATCTATTAAATTACCCAATTTAATTGTATGTTATTCACACCTACACTTAAGAGTGTTCCGTTTCGGGTCTTTTGGAGTCGACTTTGATTCTCAACTCGTAATTTTGGAGTCGGTAGAGGAATTAAACATGCTGTGTCATTTCATGATTTTATACATGCAGTCCTCCTCTGGTCAGACAAAATAAGCAGTTTAAATCATCCGCAGTCAAAATAAAATAGCTACCAGCCTATACTTTTTTACAGCATATTTAATTGTCTAGTGTAAACAATTGAGAAAAATTACATTGCAATCTAAGAGACGCAACATCAATTTAATATCGAAATGTTTAATGGAAAGATGTGTAGCAGTTCATTAACAAAAAAAAAAAAAAAAAAGTTTTTTTTTAATGTTTCACACTTAAATACTACGTACCGAGTGAACAAAATAATCTGGAGTAGCGGACAGTCTGTGGTTGTTACTTTCTGTATTTTTTTTTTTTTTTTTTTTTCGGCAACAGACGCTCCAAGCAATCAATAAACAAAAAAGCTATCATAAACAATAAATTGTATCTTAATTTTAATGTATGTTTTGTAGTCATCTTCAAAATAAATAAGAATAGCCTAAATATTAGAGGTGAAATTGAGTGTCCAGGGCCAAAAAAACAAAACAAAAACACGACCACATACTGTCAGATTTTGCCAATAAATAAATGTTGGTTACTTTTGTTATATAATTTGTGTTTTTTTTTTTATTAATTTATTTATTTGTGAATAGGCATAGGTTAAAATGTTTACTTAAGTATAGCAACCAATAACATAACATCGTCATTTTACCTGCAGAAATCTCTTTAAATCTTTTAAAATTCACAAGTTATGTTCAAACGTTCTCACATTTTGCACAAAGAATCCACATCAAATGTACTCTCCATCTTTAACATGCATATTTATATTAACTTTATTTGTTATTTCAACAGGATGATGCTTCTGTCTGAAGCCTAATCCAGGGTGCAGAAACATTAAAAGTGGCGCTGGATGTCCTCTCAGGATTGATTTTAATGGCTGGAGAAGTAGCAGTGTATATAAAACATGCTTGTTGTGTTGTGTTTAATATTGGACATCAGCTGATTTGTGGTAAACGTTGCTGAATTTAAAATATGAAGACTTGAGGTGCAAATTTGTGTGTGTTAATGCAAAAAATATCAACAGTTATGAAGGATTTAGACAAGCCTTGTAGTAATTTATTCTTTTGGCTTAATCGAGCACAATAATACAATCTTAATGGAGAATTGAGATTTGAGTTTAACACGCAGCTACATCTTTAAACCTTCGCTGATTTGATGTGAATTTGTCTATAAAATGTTATAAATGCAACAAATGGACAAAACTGCAACTGATTTTCTTTTGTATTCCAAGTAATCCAAGTCAAATTGACTTAAAAAAAAACAAAAAAAAAACAATTGGTTTGCTGACTTGGTACTTTAATTTCCCATAGTTTGTGTTTCTTGGGCGTTTTTACATTTATATGCTTACAAATTGCATAATTGGACATTGACGTCTAATGCAATATATTGGTTTAAAAAGTCACTTTGACAAATTTAAAACTTTAAATTGAAAAGCTACTGCGCATTGAGATATTTAGACTGATAATTACCAGGCTTTTTTTTTTTTTAAGAGTAGGCCTAAACAAGTTTGGCTTATGTCAGCAGAGAGATGCCTGATGTATATAAACCCCTCATACCATACCATGCTTGCAAAATAAAAGAAAATAAGTCTGTCATTGACACTATCTTTAAAATTAAAATAAGATTTTTATTTAAAAACATTGTTCTTCTCAGTCCTTCACTTTCTTTACTACGGACGACAGTTTCCACCAGGTAAGAAAAAAAATCCTGCCATAAAACAGAAATTATGACTCGAAAATACGAGATAAAAAGAGAAATTGTGACTTTTAGGGTTGGAGAAATTACATTGATATGCCAATAGGTGGCGTATTTTATATATTTATATATCAATCGCACACACTCACCGGCCGCTTTATTAGGTACACCTGTCCAACTGCTTGTTAACGCAAATTTCTAATCAGCCAATCACATGGCAGCAACTCAATGCATTTAGGCATGTAGACATGGTCAAGTGGATCTGCCACAGTTATGTATCCGTGATAGTTCCAAAATCATTATAATGCAAGAATTTATCACTTTTCTTGTTTTTAATCAGTCTGAAGGGCATCACACACCTGATGCGCCGCGACACGGCGAGCACATGACAGTTGACAGTATCGCACACCAGACGCGCACATTCGCATGCTATTTAAAATTAAACTAATCAGATGGAACTCTGTGGCACGGCAGAAATATGAACAGTGTCCTGAGTTGTGGCTGGGCGCCGGCAACTTGCGGCGCTGGTGTGTGTAACTTGATAGAAACCGATGTTTAGAATTCTAAAATGCGTGTCGCTGCGCGTCACCAAGCGGTGCTTCTGGTGTGCGACCTAAGACAGGGGTGTCCAAAATTTCTAGTATATTTAGTAGGAGCTTGATTAGCTGCTTCAGGTGTGTTTGATTAGGAATGGAGCTAAACTCTCCAGGACACTGACCCTCCAGGACCGAGTCTGGACACCCCTGGTCTAAGAAATTTAATAAAATATCAATTTCAATTAAAAAATGTGAAAAAGGCTGTGAATTCGAGAATTTTTATTTGTGAATAAAATATTTTCCATACATATTTAAAAAAAAATTCTTTCCTTTTTTTTTTTTGTATATATACAATTTTTTTTTTTTTTTTTTTTTTTATGTGTGTATGTAACATTACTTAACCTGATCTGTTAACAATAAAGTTATTGTCATTGTTACTATAAAGAACATTATGTAGAAATAAGGCGAAATCTCAAGACATCAGCCAGGAAATTAAAACTTGGCCACAAATGGGTCTTCCAAACAGACCATGACCCTAAGCATACTGCCAAATTTGTTACAATGTGCTTTAAGGATAACAGAGTGAATGTTTTGGAGTGGCCATAACAAAGCCCTGACCTCAATCCTATAATAAATTTGTGGGCAGAGTTGAAAAAGCTTGTGCGAGCAAGACAAATCTCAGTCAGTTACACCAATTCTGTCAGGAGGAATGGGCCAAAATTCCTTCAAACTATTGTGAGAAGCTTGTGGAAGGATACCCAAAACGTTTGACCAAAGTTATACAGTTTAAAAGCAAAGCTAAAAAAAATACCAAGAATATGTATGTAAACTTTTGACTTTTTATTTAAAAAAATCTCTAAAAAATCTGTCATTATTCTGGCATTTAGCAAATTTTAATCTTTTAGGTAATCCTAACAGACCTAAAATAGTAAACATTTAGTATGAAACCATCAGACATTTTTTAAAAAAAATGGTTATGTTCCTTTTTTTAGAGTATATGTAAACTTCTGGTTTCAACTGTATGTAAATTATGGTTTGACCCACCATCCTATCTGAAACAAGAGGGAGAATGATAGGGAGTTGGTTGGGGTGAATGCCTTTGACAGGCATTGTCATTTCCCATTTAACGTTACCTTTTGTTTCTTTGTTTAATTAAGGAGCTACAAAAAAGCCAACTAAAATTAAACATAACTAAATCTGACTTTTACAATGTAAATACTGCCGCTTGACAGAGGACAGTGCACAAGAAAAGAGCAAGCTAATCAGGCAAAAGCAGGAGCAGCTTGACTAGTGTATTCTGCATTGATCTCCATTGTGTTATTATTTACTATAATAAGTTCACTATAAAACTGCATCAATAACTTATGTTTTAAAGCAACATTTTCTTGTTTGTTTTTTTTTAATATTAGCAAATAAATCAGGAAATTACACATGGCAAGTTAATGGTAAATTCAAACTCAATCAAGCTTGATCTTTGGCCCTTTATAAGAAAAAGTTTGGGCATCTTGATAGACCAGGGGTGCCCAAACATTTTCGTATGAGGAGCCAAAAAACAAACATCATTGATAGCAGTGGGCCAAAGATAAATATACCAAACTGTTTCACATTAAAACTGCCATGGGTAATTTACTAATTAAATTAATAATATAAAAAATAAATAGAAAAAATTAATCATATTAACTAACGTAGTTTAAGTTAAAACATAATCACGTTTATAACACAGTGGAGTTCAATGCTGAATAGTCACTCGTCAAGTAGAATCTGCCTTTGACTTGATTCGCTCACCAAATTCTCTGCATTGTCCTCTATCTGTCTTATGTACATTTTAAACTAAATCTGATTCATTCACACCAGTTACATTGAAACATTTAGTTTCAGATAGCTTTTTTGTAGCTTAACAATAAAACAAACATAGATAAGGTCACATTAAATTTGAAATGAAAATCTCTAAACCATTCTCAGATGGGATGGTGGGCCAAATCAAAGGTTACCATGGGCCATATTTTGGCCTGCAGGCTCTAGTTTGGGCATGTCCGATATAGACCATTGTTCATGTATGGCTACAACTAGACATGGGAGGATAACCGTGTTCAAGGTAAGATTTTTTTATTTACTTTTTTTTTTTTTTTTTTTTTTTTAGCACAGCAGTATCCCCAGCAGAAATAATCTCCAGAGTTGCCATTTTTAGTTGTGAAAAAAATCTGTTTTTGAAACAAATTAAGACAGCAAAAGTCTGTCTTAATTGAATTTTGATTTGAATTATTTAGCTTAACATAATATATATATATATATATATATATATATATATATATATATATATATATATATATATATATATATATATTTTATGTTCCTCAAATTAAAATATATTGTGTACAAAGGGGAAAAGGTTTTATTTTTACCCAGACGTTTAAAAATAATATATTTTACAGTAGTAATCTCAATACTGTGAAACCGTGATATTTATATCCAAGGTTATCAAACCATCAGAATCTTAAACCGGCCCATGCATAGCTACAACTTGTTAATATATATGTTTTATACTTTATAAAAAAATTGTTAAATGTATGCAAATTTTAATTGAAATTAATTAATTCAAAAACTAATCGCTCATATAGACCTCATATATCTGTAGATAAGGCATTTTTAAATAATCAAGTGAAACATTTAGGTTGTTTATCGCCACCTATTGGCGGAACAATGTCTTTTCTACAACCTAAAAAAGTCATAACGTCGGTTTATTGTCTTAGTTTTTGCTTATTAAGTATTTTTTATATTATTATTATTATTTATTTATTTGTATTTTTTTTATTTTTAAGGCATTTTTGACCTGGGACCACTGGTTTATTTGTTGCATCCTAAAGGTAAGCTCTACAGAGGCCCACATAAGATCAAGAACCAAACCCAGAACTCAAAATAACATTTTAACAGTACAAAAAATGTAGGTCATTATCATTATAAAGTGCCTTTGATTTCCCACAATATTGAATCAGTCCTGAACATAATGAGAAATAATGAAATTCTGATGTTTTAGTATAACTGGTTAAACCTTTACACACATGCAGGCAGAACTATTTAAGTGTTTTGAAATATGTTTTTGTCATTTTTGCCATATTCTTTCATTAAATGGATGTGATTTTGCCATGTCCCACACACTGCTCAGCCAACTTCAGTGAGTTTAAAAAGTAGGTAAATTAGATCAAATTAAAAGATTTTTAAATATTCGTATTGTCTTTAAATGTCTTTAAAATCAGACGCTGCCAAATGCATAAAATTAACTAAAATAGTGTTAAAAGGGCACAGCGCAGGGGCGCAAGAAAGTCGTTATTTCGAGCCTCGGCTGAGTTAGTTGGTGTTTCTGTGTGAAGTTTGCATGCTCTCGTTTCCTCCTGGTTTCCCTGACAAGTCCAAACACATGATCTATTGGTGAATTGGGTAGGCTTAATTGTCCGTAGTGCATGTAGATGAATGTGTGTGTGTGTAGGGGTTTCCCAGTGGGTTGCAGCTTAGAGGGCATCTACTGCGTAAAACATATGCTGGATAAGTTGGCGGTTCATTCCGCTGTGGCGATCCCAGATTAATAAAGGGACTAAGCCGACAAGAAAATGAATGAATGAAATGATTGCATGTATAAATTTGTTATAAATGAGTTGTTTTTGTTCCAGTCACATACATTAAATGTTTAAATATCTATTAAATATGGTTTTGCTTATATTATTTCACCATCTGTACACCAATATTTGTAAATGTGCGTGTCTGTGTATGGGGCTGTGTCGTTGTGGTAATGTGGCTACAGTGCCAGGGCTGATTTTTGGTCCCAGTCCGCCCCTGCCTGTGCCCATTTTGCATTTCTTCAGAGGAGGTTAAAACATCTGCTGTGCACACAGTAAACACACTCATGTTTCTTTTTTTCTTCTTCTTCATATTGTGTTTGAAACTAAACATTGTCAAGCCTAACATGTCCACCCTGTCATAGTGAAATATTAATTAATATTATAAAATTCATAAATCAAAAATATAGCTTTACACAAAGAGCTTAAATAAGGAGACACTTTACCAGCTGCAGGCTCAACCTGTGTTGAATAAATGCTATCTTTAACCAAAAATGTCCTTCCTGTCATTGTTCACACTGTCACAAATCCTCCTGGGTGGACATATGCATTGTTATTGACACTTTATTTATTTAATTTAGTATTGTTAATTAATTAATGTTTTTATGTTACAACACGTATACACACACATACTACACCAGTAGATACAATACATGAGTGGACAATACAAAACTTTTGGCAATATCTGTCTCAGTTTATATAAAGAATATCCTTTTAAAGTCCATACAATGGAGCTCATTGACTGTTTGAAATAAAAATACAGCCCTGAGTATCTGTACATTTATGTGAACATTTGTAATCTAATTATTGACCTTATTCAAAAATAAAACCAGTTTTATTAAGGTGCTTAACTTGAGCTGCTCCCAGCACTCCCTTCACTCCTCCAGTAGAATATACAATCAATGTCAGCCTGATCTCACGAGAAAAAAGTAAGTATTTTACGTTTTGCCAGTTTAGTGGCTAATTCGTACGAATTCGTACGAGTTCAGTCATACGAAATGGTACGATTTTAAAAAGGAGGTGTGGCACCTGACCCCACCCCTAACCCCAACCGTCATTGGGGGATAAGCAAATCGTACTAAATTGTACGAATTAGATCGTACGAATTCATACGAATTAACCACTAAATGAAAAAGTTACCAATTGCCGTGAGATTGTGTTGGAAGATTTACATTCATTAGTGAATTTAGTTTAAATTTAAGGACAATAATTGTTTATTTTTCCAACAATTTGCATATTAATAAAAACCTAATTGATAACAGAAGATGCGGGGCCTTTAATATTTCTTGTTGTACCAGTTGTTTTCAAATGTTCCTCCATATTTAGTCCACTACATAAAGCCACACTGTCCACACTGTCATGCCAAGGTCCACCTTGTCATCTTATTTTCCACCATCATGTTCAACTTTTATGAAAATAAACAAATTATTTATAACCTCAGCAAAACATCTTTTGGGAAAATCCAGGGAATAAGTATAAATCAAATAAAAAATACAGAATGTACATATGTCATAATCAAATATATATTTAATACGTAGTAGAATTCACAAATATTGAAGAGTCTCTAATACTGCTAATATATAAGCATAATTCAGTTATCAATAACTTCAAATTCACTTTCTTATTAGTAAATCTACGTTTATGAATTAGCAAAAGTAAGTAAAATATTTGCAAAATAAATATAAAATAAAAATATTTTCCTCTTGACTAGGGTACATAGTAAAGCTAAAAAGTACATTTTCCCACAACAAAAGAGGTTAAGAACACTGAAAATTCTTAATAATGTTTGCATCTCACCCCATTTGTTTGTTTTTGTTCACGTAAATTCTACGTTGGCCGCCATTTTGTGTCATGGCAATGAGCACAGCACGTCTCAACATTATGAAAAAAATAGTAATATAAATATATTTGGAAAAACATTTATTATGGGTTGTGGTGCTTTTTACGTTACATTCAGCTTTGAGTTACCTTAAAATCGGTGTCATGTGCTCAGTCAGTTTTCCTTTCCGGATTTTTTACCATGGGTTTAACCGACCAACGGTACTTTTTGTTGTGGCCCGCCAAGCTACCGTTACTTCACGCCAGGATGGGTTTAATGCTTACAAAAATTTATAATTTTGAGACGAAGAAAGTGTACTCGATCACAGGAAGGGTAAGTAACCCTCTGTTATCCAAGCGCTATTAACGTTACCAATCCAGAGTTGGCAAAATGAGTCGCCGCATATGGCAAGCCAAATTAGCTATTAGCTAAGTCAGATAAGTCAGAATTATTAGCCCCCCCTGAATTTTTAGCCCCCGTTAATCCCCCCCAACCCCCCCCCCCCCCCCCCCCCCCCCAATTTCTGTTTTACGGAAAGAATTTTTTTTGAACACATTTCAGCACATAATAGTTTTAATAACTCATTTGTAATAACTGATTTATTTTATCTTTGCCATGATGACTGTAAACAATATTTTTCTAGATAATTATTTAATTCTATACACCTTAAAGTGATATTTAAAGGCTTAATTTGGTAAATTAGGTGAACTAAGCAGGGTAGGGTAATTAGATAAGTTATTGTATAACGATGGTTTGTTCTGTAGATTATCGGGGAAAAAAAAGCTTAAAGGGGCTAATAATTTTGTCCCTAAAATGGCTTTGAAAAAATAAAAACTGATTTTATTCTAGTCGAAATAAAACAAATAAGACTTTCTCCAGAAGAAAAAACATTATCAGACATTCTGCGAAAATTTCCTTGCTCTGTTAAACATCAAAACATAATTTGGGAAGCATTTAAAAAAGAAAAAAAAATCAAAGGGGGACTAATAATTCTGACTTCAATTGTATATATATATATTTAAGCTGCTACAGCATTGCACAGTTCAAAAACAAGAACAGAGAAACAGATTAATTCTTATTATTATGAATATTTAATATTGCCAGCCACTTTACATTACACTGCACTGTGCTTATAGGCAAAAATAAATAAAATGTCAACATTTAAATTAAAATGTGCTTTTAAAAGTTCATTAAATCTGGCACTGTTCTTAAAAAGTTAAAAAGAAACTGCTGTACTTAAATTAATAAATATTATCAAAAAATAGCCTATTCATCTAATCCTGGAATTGTCATCATATTCATATTTACTCTTTTTGATAAATTTTGAAATTCATGACGCATGTATATATGACTTATTTGTATATTTTTGAAATCTAAACATTAACTTGTATTTTAGATATTCATTCATTCGTTCATTTTCTACTGCTTTTCCAGGGCCGGGTCGAGGGGGCAGCAGTCTTAGGAGAGAACTCCAGACTTCCCTCTCCCCAGACACTTCCTCCAGCTCCTCCGGGAGGATCCCGAGGCGTTCCCCAGCCAGAGGGAGAGACAAAGGCTGCGTCCGAAACCGCCTACTACTCAGTAGGTACTGTATTTGAATTTAAACGTACTAAACGGCCGTTAGAAAAGTATGTTTTATACAGTATGAATCAGAGCCGGAGTGGGACTCTTTTTTCAGCCCTGGAGTTTCAAGCCTTAGACCGGCCCACCTCAGTTCACCACTGACTATATTAAAATAAGGTCATTTCCAATTCAGTTTCTAATGACACTACCGCGTCTTTTTTTGAGAAAACAGCTGTTTTAGAACTTCAAATGTTCAACAACCCTTAACGTATTATATGTCTTAACAATAAAAATGAAAAAAAAAAATGTTGCTCAGACGAGGACCGAATCCAGGTTGGCAGCGTTATAACCTAACGTGCTAACCACTGTACCACAACAGCTGTACATTGAATGGTGACTTATCTAGGTATATCATCATTAACCTGCAGGCTGCATCTTGCTCATGAGGCTACGAGAAAATAGATCAAAAGAGCAGAGCTGCGGTAAAATAATGAATAAGAAGGCTGTAGTCAAGTAAAAAAGTAAATTATTATTTAAAAAAGTGTGACTGCTGAGAGCGACAGATTCTGGAGCTATGGACACCGGCCCTATAGCTCAGTATAATAACACTATGGGTGCTTTCACACCTGTGAATCGATTAAGTTGTTCCGAAACAGAGATTACAATTGTTACATTGTTGCTCTTTGCTCTTGGAGCGGTTCACTTTCACACTGCAAAGTTTCTAATCGGACCAAAAGAGCTAAAACAAGTCACGTGCGAGTAAACTCTCCTTACATTGGTCAGAGTGTCAGGGTTTATTTTGCAGCGTCCCGCTAAGCTGTCAGGAGAGGTGGTGGTTTGGTGGTGACTAACAGGGTGCGCGCGCGCGCGCGACGTGTCTTAAGGAGAGACGCGGTGGGGAGGGGTGAGGGTGCGCGACGATGCCTATTTGAGGACCGGGAGGGAGACGCGAGATTACCGGGAGATCATCACTCTTTTGCGGGCATCCGGAGACTCACGAAACTTCCCACCCCACTCATAATTCTCTCTTCATATAGCCGTATGCCTATTACATATCCATAAAACACTGTGATACAACCGCGCTCGGATCGGATTGCTTTCTCACTACAATCAAACCGAGACCACCTCATTCAAGCGATCTCGGAGCGATTACTTTGGCGCGGAACAGAGTGAGATTGCCCTGTTCACATATGCCAAACGAACCGCGCTAAATGGGCAAACGAGATACGTTCCGAAACAAAAGTGTAGGTTTGAAAGCACCCTTAAACTGGAACAGTTCAGGCGTTTTAGAATGACCAAAACAACAGTTCAGATGGTTTACAGTGTGCTCAGCCTGCTGGTTTGTCTATTCACACACATTTTCATCCTCACATATTCTCTTATCACAAAATCACGACCTTTTTTAATGCGCATACTGAAATTTGTGCGGTAAAAGTGTTTCCATCGTAGTTTATGCGCATCTTTTCTTATCAAATAAAAAGTTTATCCTACTCAGTTATGCGCATGTTTTTTTCAGTAATGCGCATCATGGCATTTCCATCAACCGTTTTTTTATGCAAAATGCAATAAAAATAGGTGGATGGAAACATAGCTATTGTTTACCTGCGAGAAATAGAAGCCTAAAAGTTTCTAAAATAGAAAATGTAGGTGTTTGTTAGATGTCAGATGTCTGAGCTTGAATGTAGAAAACAGCCATAGTCACCATTTAACCCTATCTGTAGTCAATATACAGCTGATAATGGGTGAGTTCTATATGGGGAGTTCTGTTTAGGCGGAAGTAAAAATACACTGCATGGTGTCAAACCAGACACCACGTGACGTCATGTGAAAAGAGTCAATTGGTGAAGTTTGTTCCTCGCCATTATCGTCGCTTTCTTCCTTGGTTTGGAACTTGTTGAGCTGCACATCGTTGGATTTGCTCTTGCAGGTTTTGGCTTTCAACAGTGACATTTACATTACACTGAACAAAACTGAACTTTAACTTTGACAACTGGACTGAAGCGGTTGATCTACTAGAACTAGGTTAAGCTGTTTAACACAATCCACACTGTAAAAAGCGCTATAAAGGTTAAACAAAAAATGTAATAAGTTATGAAGTATACAGGCATCACTATGCCATTTTGTAAAACCTGAAACAATATAACGCCATTGTTTGGCGACCTCAACTGCTAGGTGAGGACAGGACAGTTCAACACTTTAACTATAGGAGTGCGTTAAGTTAATATTGAACGAAATGAAAACACTTTATATGTGAAAAGTATTCATTTTTATTCATTACATACAGAACAAGCATTTATTTACAATCTCAAAAAAATTAAAAATCTTCTTCTCTTCATCCAGACACAAACGATGGCTCCATTCAGCTCCTCCTCTTCGTCAAACCATAAACACCTGCCGCAAACGGCTCCTCCTTTTCCTGCAACCACGAACATTGGCCCCATTTACCTCCTCCCCTCTGTGAAACCACAAACACCAGCCCCATTTAGCTCCTCCTTTTCACGCAACCACAAACACCAGCCCCATTCAGCTTTCTCTCTTCGTCAAAGCCACAAACTGCCCCATGTTTGTGGCTTGACGGAGTTCCTGGCTGAATATAAAAGAGGAGCTTAGTGTTAGAGGCTGGATGAAGAGGAGGAGCTTGGTGTTAATGGCTCGATAAAGAGGAGGAGTTTGGTGTTAGTGGCTGGATGAAAAGGAGGAGATGGGCGTTAGTGGTTCGATGAGGAAGAGGAGCTTGGTGCTGTCTTTTTCAGGTGCCTGGATCTTCTTCAGCAGTGCTCTTGTCTGGTTGAAAAGTACCAAATGTGCAATATTAGTTTCATGTAAGATGAACATTTTAACACAAAAACTGAAACAAGACTCGCAAAAGAAGTCAAATTTCAATTTGTCCAGCTCACAGATTAAAAGTTAAGTACAATTTGTGATTTAACTTAACAGGTTAACTACAAAATTCAGCCCCTTAACTAATTAATTCTGTCGTGTCTATAAAAAAGTGAACATTTGAGACATTCATTCTACATTCAAGTTGAATATTTTGTATTTTTCATGAGTCATGTTGGGGCTTTTGTCATTAAACTGACCTGAATGTCCTTCTGAACAGTTCCGATCTTCCTAATCGTTTCTTCTGTTGTTTGGCTCCGGGATCAAGGATTGGAACCAGTTGTGTTGGAGGATCTTTTCAAGAGGAATCCGCTTGTCTGGCTTACTTTGCAGACACGAGCAGATCAAATCTATGCATTCTGTGAAGAAAGAAGGGAGAGATGTCAGGTTATTAGATTGCTACAAACTTTACAGTTGGTTTAAATGATCACATGTTTTAAGATCCTGTTTCATCATCCACATGCTCTCACCTTTGGATAGGTCTTCAGGCTTCCAGGTTCTTTTGACAATCTTCTGGAGCTCTTTTAGAGGCAAACGTCCATACAGCAGGATGAACAACAGTACTCCTATAGAGTACACTGTTGCAGGCTTGGCGTGGAGCCTTCCACGTTTGAAAAACTCCGGAGGAGCGTAAACTCTTGTGCCTGGAAGAAAAAGCAAGGACAGTAAGTTATTATCTCATTGGCTTTGCCCGGAAGGCTCAATATAACTTGTCTTTATGATAATACATACCACAGAATGTTGTGTAGCCTAAGTTGCTTATTAGTCTTCCAGCACCAAAGTCTATGAGTTTGATCTGCAAGGTGTGGGGGTTGATAAGGAGGTTCTCCAGCTTGATGTCGCTGTGGTAGACGCCCCGTTCACAGCAAGCGTTTGCAGCAGTGACCACCTGGTGCGTCACCACTCGTGCATTCTCTTCGCTGATTTTGTTGTCATACCAGGATATAAACTGGCGCATGTCCACACACGCTCTGGGGCGCTCTAGCACCAGTACGTAATACTCTGGTGACTCGTACCAGTCCAGCAGCTGTATTATTTGAGGAACATTTGGACCTCTGCTCATCAAATACATCAAACCGACCTCTTGTGGAACAGATTTGTCAGATGGTGCCTGCAGGAGAGATAATAGACATGTGACAGTGAGATGTGATCGAACTGAAGTGGAGACTGTTTAACAATTTCGTGTGAGTGTGTACTTACAATCTTGATGGTTTTCATTTCTTTAGTCTTTTTCACGTATTTGATTGCCACCTGTTGACCAAGAGAAAGCGACAGTTAATCCACACGATCAGTCATGTAACAATTGTCAAATTTAAATTGGAAGAAAGTACAATGAAAGCACAAACCTTTCGGAAATCCGATACACGAATCCCACTGAAGACCTCTCCAAACGATCCATTGCCTATTAGATGAAAGACTTTGTATTTCTGGTTGACGTTACCTGTAAATAAATCAATGAAACAAACAATGAAGTACATTTATAGCGTAAACCATCACAAATCTGATTGAAGACTGCTTTAGAAGCATTTTTGTAACAAACTATTACTAAGATATCAGGCCTCTAATATTTCATTACTGCGCTGAAGTATTATTTCTGAGGATTTGTACTTAATTACAGTTTAAACCCCAACTTTACCTTGAATACATTCCTGAAGAAAGAATAAACTGTACGTTTACTCCTTAACATTTTCTTATAACAGTTGTCTTATCTTTATTTCTCTTACATTTCCTCTAGCTAGGGTTGCACAATTCTGTAAAAATATATGATGTTGTGAAATATTCATAACAATATTTCCTGCAATAAATCTGCCTAGACTGTTTACTAGCTATTTTTAATGTATTTATGTAATTTTCATATTAAAATAAACATTAGAAGATGTTATACTGCTTTTATATATATATCAGCAAATGTTCTGATTTGATAATTGCTGTTGTTAGGTTCTCACTCCAGCCATGACTATTCCTTTTCATCTCCGCTCTGAGGCCTTAAGCTCACCTTTCTGTGATAAGGATATTGCAGAGACACTATTGTTGTGATAACAATTGAGCAGCCCTAACTGTAGCCATATTATGGTAAATAGTCAGTTGAATGTTTTATAGCTTGGCATGAATGAGTCAAGTTCAATGGTCTAAACAAACTCAAATAGGCTACTTAAAATATACTTGCTGATATATAAATCCGGGCCTTTATTCACAAAATAAATCAGATAAAGTAAACAGTGATAAGTCCATTCATATAGATATTTTAAGTGCAATGCTTGGAAAAAAACGTAAAAACTTTGAATCTTTAAAACATCTCATTCCCCCTTATGAATAAAATATGCATAAATACATTGAAATACTTGATAATATGTCCACTTACACCCACTATCTCTACTTCACCCTAGGTAATTATATTTAATTGCAGCGGAGTAAGAAGTAGCCTGCATTATTTAGTTTTGGAATGCTTTATAGTATGTGTAAGTATAATATACTTTTGAGGGGAAACACTTAATAAACTGACCTGTCCCGTCCAAATTCAATGGTGGGTTCTTTTCTGTCTTCCAAAAAACGTCGAACAGTGAGATAGGGGTGCTTTCCTCGGACTTGATGGAGTCCTCGCTGGAAGCATTTTCCTCATCGTTGTGGTTGTCAGCGGTCAGCGAAGACGCACAAGAGTGCCTACTGTGCACTGAAGCGCGGTCAGATTCGCCAACATTCGGGGTGTCAGGCGAAGACGCACAAGAGTGCCTACTGTGCACTGAAGCGCGGTCAGATTCGCTGATCCCCCCGGTGCCAAGCGAAGACGCACAAGAGTGCCAACTTAACACTGATGCGCGGTCAGATTCGCTAACATCCGGGGTGCCATGCGAAGACGCACAAGAGTGCCAACTAAACACTGAAGCGCCGTCCGATTCGCTAACATTCGGGGTGCCAGGCGAAGACGCACAAGAGTGCCTACTGTGCACTGAAGCGCGGTCAGATTCGCCGTTTTCTGCAGTAGTTAGAGAAGACACAGGACAGTCCCAGCATTCAGTGTCGTCGTGCCGTTCAGTTTCTGTTGACGGGGTCTTCACAGGGGTCTGGATAGACACGCACCTGTTGACCGGCTCGTCATGAACTGTCCTCGGCGACACACACGCAGCTTCACCACCAGGGGATCTCTGGGGCTGTGGGCTGCTCGGCTGGCTCTGTGGGGCTCTGGTTCTAGTTTTCTTGAATTTCCGAGAAAACCATTTCCAGAACCTCTTAAGTTTCTTCTCTGCTTTCTGTGGTACTGGGCTTGGTATAGCATCAGCTCCAGTACACATGTAAGAGATGAACGCGGCGTTGCTTGGTCCGGCTTCGCCATCATAACATCTCTGCTCATCGAGGTCGCCCTCGTTTGAGCTCTGGTCCCTCTGGGTCTTCCCGGATTTCCGAGAAAAGGCCCAGTTACAGAACTGTTTTACTTTCTTTCTAACTCGCCCCATTATTTTAGATTTCTTGAACTGAAAACTGAATAAATCTGACATAAAACGCAGATCTACAATGATACAGTGCAAGTCAAGCGAGGATTTGTGAAAGAATGTCATTCCACATCATTTCTACGGCTACGATGGAACTTTCGAACGTTTGACGTCATGGCTAATTTGCATACAGCTCAGTGCAGAGCACAATTCAAAAGAAAACAGCGATTGATAGAAAATGTAGATATTGGCTGTATTTTAAAGAGCTATGTTAGCTATATTTAATTTTATTACATTATTAAATAGTGGTAAACAGTTTGCTCTGATCTGCATCTTAAATATTAATAATAGTAATGATAAGTTTATATAAAATTGACTCCTCTGCCAAACTCATAATGGTTCATATAATCATGCATAGGAAAAGATAAACACTTAAAGATAAACACTGAAATAATTCAAAAGACTCTTTGTTTTGTAAAATCAGTGTTTGTATGTACATATAGCCTAAAAGTAAAGCCAACTTAGACTCATTGTGTGTATTTAAACAGATGCCAATGCTTGCACATGGAGGTTTTCTTTGAGAATAACATCTTTGTTGAAATAGCCCATCATAGATTATTATATGAGGCAAAATTCTATCAATTTCTCTAAAACACTGAAAACTTAAATATGTTTGATTAATAAGTGAGGTGAAATTTTATTCAGTATATGAATAATGACATTCTTTCACAAGACCCAATTCACTAAGATTTACTGGTGGTGTCCTAGAATAATTTGAATTAATAAGCCGAACACAATTGTTTCAGTTTTACTCTCATTAAAATCTACAAAGTTCAAAGATAACCAGGCTTTCACATCCGACAGGCAAGACATAAGAGTCTCCAGTCCACTTGAACTCAGTTTAATCGCAGGTAAATTTGAGTGTCATCTGCATAACAATGGAAAGACAGACCATGTTTTCTAAAAATAGAACCCAGGGGAAGCATATATATATAAAGAAACAAGAATTGGGCTATAATAGGGGATATTACATAATACTATCCCCTATAATAGGGAAATCAGCTTCCAGAAATGATTAGATGTGCTCCAACATTAGGCACATCTGTTTAGCTGTGCTTTTACTGAATGAGCACTGTGCTACGTCCCACAGATCACACTATTGTGTCTTTCTCTTCTTTGACATTCTTTTATAAGACATTTTTATCTGTTTCTATCAGTTTTAATAATTAAAAAAAAAAATTTGTTACACTTGTCTTTTTCATTCCTGTTTATGTAAAGCACTTTGAATTACCACTGTGTATGAATTGTGCTATATAAATAAACTTGCCTTGCCTATATTTAGTATATTTTGTATATATAGCACAAAAGGGTCATTACAAAATTGCGCAAGCACAAAACTCTTGCATTGCACAGCAAAAACCAATAATTTATTGTATGGGTCCAAACTGAGGTTTGTTTAATGCCAAAAACCATTAGAATATTAAGTAAATATTGGATTTTGAGGACATTTTCTAGTGTAAATAAATCAAAACTTAGTTGTTGTTTTTTTAGATTAGTAATGTGCGTTCCAATGTCATTTTGACAACTTTAAAGGCGTTTTTCTCTGTTTCAATTTTTCAGAGTTAGTTTTTTTACACTCTCAGATTGTCATATATCTTGGCTAAATATTATCTTATCAAACCGTACATCAGTGGAAAACATTTTTATTATTATATTTCAGTTAATGTATAAATCTCATTTTATAGGGGATTTTCCTGCTTACTGGAAACGGATCCTGTCCTGATAATACTGATTGTTTTTGCATGTCATTCATGTGTGACTGTATTAGGAGCTGACAGTAGTTTGCAGCATACTGCAGTGTATGGCTTGATATGACAGTATTATGTTAATAATTATGCTATTATGTTGAATGCTGCTGGTCAATTCAGGTCTGTGTCCAGTAGAGGTCAGTCTGTCGTGTTCATCAGAGGAGAGTTGATTGTTTTGTCTTGCATGTGTGGCTTGGCAAAAAAAAACTAAAATAATGAAGAGCACAATATCAGACACACCAAAATGCACAATATAAAAATGTATGTTTTGAAAACAATAAGAAAAATTTGTCTTTGAAATGCAAAATATTAGTAGTTAAATTTAATTAGGTGGAAATCGAATTGCAGCAACATCTAAAAGTATTTTACATTAGAACATTTTAGATGGAAAAGTGAAGTGATTAGGCCTACTTTCATATTAATGTTTCATTGTTTGTTGATTACGCATGATTAAAAACTATAATTGCCAGTTAACGTAGATGAAATTTTGTAGATTCGACAGTTCATATTCACAAAATGAGGAGAAATACAAATATGATTTAACTTCTAAATGTGAAAAATGTAATACTATTTGACTAGATATTTTTCAAGACACTTCTATACAGATTTAAGTGACATTTAAGGGTTAACTAGCTTAATTAGGCAGGTTAGGGTAATTAGTCAAGTCACTGTATAATGATGGTTTGTTCAGTAGACAATTTAAAAATATATATAGCTTAAATGGGCTAATCATTTTGACCTTAAAATGGTGTTTAAAAAATTCCAAACTGCTTTTATTCTAGCCGAAATAAAACAAATAAGACTTTCTCCAGAAGAAAAAATATTATCAGACATACTGTGAAAATTTCCTTGCTCTGTTAAACATTTAGGAAATATATAATAAAGAAGAAAAAAAATCAAAGGGGGGCTAATAACTCTGACTTCAACTGTATACAATACATAGATATTGCATTATATAATATTGAGTACTGTCTTGAATAAGCAATTTCATATCATAGATGTTTTATATGCTTCACAAGACCAAATAATATCGTATATTAAAATGAAAACCCTCTTAAATATTAGCCTGGATGATCCATGAGTGTGTTTTTTTTTCTGTTTTTCAGAAAATTCTCCTGGACACTCTTTTGTTTTCAGTATCGACCGTATGATTTGAGAATTCATCTTGTCACACCAAGGACAACAATGCAATTAATACAGAAGGTAGGAACATGCACTGATGCACTCACTGATGTTTACCTTCTCAAAATATTGTGGAAAACTGATCTGGGGAAATAATACAGGTCCAATATGTTTGTTGGATGTCATTTTATTACAGAACACTATTTGTTTTACATACCTTTTTTAATATTCCAATTATGTTACTAAATTTGAGGAAGTGGTTTACAGTTCACTTTTAAAATCATAAATACAGTTGAAGTCAGAATTATTTGAGGTACTCCAATATTGTTAGAACGCACAGATGACTACACCCCATTGGCCCTCACACATTGCTGTCTCCCAATCAATTAGATTTTAAATACAGTAGAGGACTAATTGAGTTATTTTCCCTTTAGATCAGATTTAATATTTCAGAAGGCCAGTTCACATTAGTGATCAGCAGGTACTTATTTTTGCCAAATTAACACGAGTTTGCTGGGTTTAGAAATGAACATGAAAGCAGGAAAAAATTGCTAACAAACAGAAAGAGTACACTGAATATGTTTCTCGTCTATACACATACTTTATTAAGAATTATACATATTTTACAGAAGAAATCTAGTCGAGAGTAACTGGAAGTTCCTTCAGTTGCTGCCCTGGTACAACCTGGTGTTTGGGTTTTCCAGAAGCTTCACTGTAAACAGAAGAGCAAAGCAAAGATATTTATGACAAGGTTATCATCACAGGGCTCAACAATAAGGACTGCCCGGTGGCCCAGGGCCAGCGTGAGAGACGCTTGGGACAGTAGACAGGATAATTACTGGCCCGATTGGGACAGTGCTGCCACTGCAACATTTAATTGGTCTGCAACTATTTGCGTGCATTTAAAGTTTAGTCTTTAAATACTGCCTTCTCTGTGATGTCGTTAACACCATATTGCTTTTTGGTTCCTCTTATCTGATTTGATGTTTTGAGCATGCTATTTTTTTCCGTAACCTGGTAACAGCCAGTACAGCGAAGAAACAGCAACATGGCAGAAACATCAAATTATAAGGCTAAAACAAAAGGTCTGTTTCTAACGTCTTGGAAGCAGACATTTACGTGTGAACAATGCGACAAACAAAAGTGATAAAAAAAATGAAAAAAGTGATGTTTTGCACGGTTTGCCATCAGTTTGACAAGTCAGCCACCTTTTGTTAAATAATTTCGAACCACAATAAAATACCTCCACATTTTCCCCTGCTCTTTTTGTTTGGAAAACACTTTTATTAACATGTTTTTAAGTATTGAAATTCTGGATTATTTAAAATATGTGGCAAAAAATAGCTATTAACTTCCCTTTTTTTTGGTGGGGCCAGTGAAAATTTGGTAGGGCAAGTAAAAATCTGAACCACTGGCCCGATCGGACCAGTAGAAAAAATCCTTAGTGTTGAACCCTGCATCATTTTTAATGGTTTTAAGTATTCAGACACTGCAGATATTTAACTCAGGAAACCTCCATTTCCACTAAAACATTAATTGAGCATCTCTAGAGAGAACTAAAATGGCTGTCTATTAATGTTTACCATCCAACCTGACAGAACTGGAGGATCTGCAAGAAGGAATGGCGGAGGATGCCCAAATCCAGGTGTGAAAAACGTGTTGCATCTTTCCCAAAAAGACTCAAATGAGTGCTTCTACTACTGTGCAAAGGGTCTGAATACTTAGGACCATGTGCTATTTTCCTTTTTTAATAAATCTGCAAAAATGTCCACAGTTCTGTGTTTTTCTGGAGTGCCGTGTGTACATTAATGAGAAAAAATGGACTTAAATGATTGTAGCAAATAGAGCAAAGAGTGAAAAATTTAAAGGGGTCTCAATAGTTTCCATACCCACTGTATATCATGTAATGTAGACCCATTTCTGCTTTAAGCTCTAAGGATAAACAATAACATGCGAGTCAGTTGTGAAACGTTTTCTCATCATTTATTTTTACCACAGTTTGTGCCATCAGCTTCAAGACAAAGATAACTGGAGTGAAAAACTTCATTCTTTATTTTGCTTCATTTAGATTATTTATAGATTAGATTATTTATAATGCTTCAGTAATCATCTAATGGGGCAGATTACGGAGCTAATAAGGAGCCAGCCGTGTTGATCGTAAGCACGTGATCCTCTCGAAATTAGTTTATGAACAAACCACACATAGAGAAAAGATTCTACAAGTAAATTTTAATTTTAAATCTTTGGTGAAGCACCAAAAGTGGACAATATTAAACCTAATCTGAATCCTATTTTGGCTTTTGTTGTTATCCATGAATTTTTTTGATTATGATAGCCATCCAACAATCTATTTCAGCTAAAACAGTGCATAAAATGCAGTATTTAAATCTAATAATTAAATAGTAGCCTAAATGAGGCCTATAACTGCAAAAAGGTCCACTTTTTAAGAATAAAAGAACCACATGTTTTACCAGGATGGCTACGGGCCTGCCAGGTCAAACGAACCGAGAAACGCAGTTTGGATAGCCTAGTGTAAGTGCACCCTATAGCTGCATCCCAAATGGCACACTATGCACTGTACTTACACACTCAACAGCATAGTATATGTATGTAGTGTCACCCCAAATGGAGCACTAATGTTTTTTTTCTAGACTGAAATTCAAACCGTTTCCCTGATGATGTTTGACAGTTCCCAAATAAATAAAATAAATGACCAAACTCAAATAACACACGCTGGAGTATAAACGCATTCACCATCAGGAGGCGCTATAATCACTCTTGTAAGAGAATTCTGCTTTCACAATCCAAAATAAATAAAGTTATCTAACATGTGCACCCGATAGCTCCGCCCCTTCCACTACATGAGCAAAGCTGTGGTCGTTGAGTGTGTGAAGTGTCCAACAGTACACACTTCATTTTACAGGTTAAATAAGTGCATCATCCGGGTAATTAAAGTGCACTTATTATTTAGAGTTTTCAATGTGAATGCACTTCTTACACTATTTATACTACAAATGGCGTAGAATAGTGCATAAGTATGCGATTTGGCTGGTAATGAAAAAGAATGAAGGATCTTCACAAAACAAACCAGAAACATGAATACATTTGTTTGTTTTCGACATTTGTTTTAGTCAAGACGGAGGTTCTAATCTAAATCACTGATTAGATATGAAGCACAAAGACAACACAATACTGCATTTAAAGGGCCATGAAACCCCCTCGTTTCAGCAGTGTGTTTTCACACCTCTACTTTGGAAAAAGTCAGAAAAGTGGGCGTGTCCAGCTCTGTTTAGGGGGGAGTGTCGGAGGAAGAAAAGCGGCTTGGTATGGGAGTGTCTATTTGGGCGCGCTGAATTTCAGAGTCAAAACACACAACCACAGCGGACAATGTGACTGTGTTTACATGGACATCTGTAGTCGAATTATTTGCCAAATTATTAAATGGTGGACTTTAACTGCAGTTTGGCTCTTTCATTCAGGGAATTTATTCATGTCCCTCCCGACAAACGTGATATTTGATTCGAGGTGCTGCTCTAAGCGTGTATTTTTCATGCAATGTTTGATACCGCACGGCAAATGAGAGAAAAAAAAACCCTCCGCATTTCCCGGAAACTTAGATGCACACAGCAGGTAGCGTCAGAAAGCCGCGTGTGTTATTCCGGTCACAAAATCCAACACGAGGTTATAGTTTGGTTGTAACTGTTAAGTGCTAACTTGTTTACACTCGGTGCAATAGTTTGTTTGATACGAATAAAATACGAACTGAATAAACAAAGAGCACTGGTCGCTCACTTACCAAATCTGTAGAGACAGGACAATCACCAGCAACTAGAGCCGCGTCTTTATGGAGAGAATACTACAAGCGAATCTGGATCTCAGCGTTTGCAGATGAGAACAGCTCTCAGGTAAACAATAATCCTCCTTAGACACGTAAGTTATTGTTGTCGCGCGTCGCGTACACTGTTAATCCACGCGTGAGTCTGCGCTCTCACAGAGAGAAAATGAAAACAAAACTTAACTGCAGCAAACTATAAAAGCAACACTTCACGCTTGTTTTGCCAACACAACGTGGCGTCTTTGCCGTCTACACTCTGACAGTAATGAATATTAATGAAGTTGCACAATAGAGCGCGCTGATTGGTTTGAACCAAGCCTTACTCATGCATTAATGCAACACACTGTAAGACGTAATTAGACACACTCTGGCACAGACGCCCAGTCTGCACGCTAGAATACAACGCTATTATGTCATGGCCGTGACGCAGCTTCAAAAATTAGTTTCAAACCGGAAGTACGAATTTGCTTGAAATAACGCAAAAACAACCAATTTACACTTTTTAGTGAAATATAGGTGTCCTAATAGTGTTTTTAGCAGTGTGGGACACATATACGACTGTCAACAGCTCACAAAATGTGTTTTGGTGTTTCGTGACCCTTTAAGGTAACTATGTATTCAAAACCTAGCTAGTGATTGTTTCATACATGTCAGTACTTTCAGTTAATGCATTTATATTGTAAAATGATTAGCTTTAATCGATGCCAACCCACCTTCCAGCTGTCAGAGCTTTCTGTGAAGACATGATCACAGTCGGTGGAACCATCTCTCTGCGTCCATCTCTCGTACAGTAGTAGTTGTTTGCAAATTTATGACTGGGTCCAACAGGAAGCTTCGGTGGTGGCTGAGTCCTATCGTTACCGCAATGCACAAATATTAACCATGGATTAATTATTGCAAGGTTGTTATATAAAGTGTATATTCAGCATGATGCAAAGGTTATAGGCTAGCTAAAGTTTTTTAAATTTTTTTAGACTATGTCTTCCAAACCACATAAAAAGATGAATACACACTCGAAATTAGATCAAAAGGCTCCTTATGTTATGCCAAAAGTCATTTTGTGTGACCTTTCTTGGTGCATTTTAGGGAAGATTTGATTTTGAAGTCACTGCTAGGTAAATTGCTTGAAATTGTGGTCTAATTGTAGATTACAAATTACAGAATAAACAATGGAGTTAGAAACAATCTAGATTCCGCATGGCTCAGACTACATTCTGGATTACTTTTAGATTACTTTTGGATTACCTTATTTGTCACATTTATTTATTTTTCCTCAAAAGTGAAAGAAAATGCCTTCTTGTTATCAGTAAGGTTACGTGTATTAAACTACTTTAAGTCAGGATTTACCAAACAAGGGCCTCATGTACGAAGACTTGCGTTGAAATCATACTAAAACATTGCGTACACACAAAGCTAAAAAATTTCGCTGTACGAAACACTGCGTACGCGGAATCCCACACATATTTTCTTTGTACATCCGAATGAACGTGAAACTGAGCGCAACATGCACTAGCGCAAAACCCCTCCCTGCCTCCTCTCCCGTATGAATATGCTAATGACTCTACTTTGGCAAAACCCAACGAAAAAGCAATGGCAAGAGCAAAGAAAAAGAGAAACTTTAAACAGAATGTGAATTGGACGTGCTGCTTTCGGAGGTAGACCGGAGAAAAGCGGTGTTATTTGCAAGTTTGTTCTCCGAAATTAATAACAAAATAAAAAAATAGAGTGGGAGAGTTTAGCTGATGCGGTTAACACAGTTAAGTCTGAACATCGAACTGAGTGGATTAAATAAGAAATAGTATGATTTATAGGTGTAAAATGTTGCAGCGTCTTTAACAGCATGAGTGGCGTAGCTCGTAAAACGCATGGCAACATGTTTTGACACATTCGAGCATGAACTCGGTTCAAATCCAGCGTCTGATTGACTCATTCTTTTTTTTTCCCCGCTGCATATCAGATTTTGCCTATAGTCTTCATCACGAGGAAGACAAGTAGAAATCATTAATAAGTCTGTGCATCATTTTTTATTTGCACAGTTATTGAATGGAAATGTTTCTGATTCACATATGCAAATTCATCTTCAGATGGCGCCTTTACAGCAATGGGTGTGCAGTAGATCGCTCCGATTACACTGGGCAAACCGGCGACCGCTGCAAATTGGGCGTTAATGTTTGGCTGGTCAACTGTATGGTATGGAAACCTTATAAACCTGCTAGACATGCGGATAAACCTGTCCCATACAGCTGCCATTGCAAGGCTCAAAGACACTTTGTAGAGTGCAATTTAACACAACTGCCTCTAGGAGTCGCCAATGGAAATAAAACAGACACGCACAAGAAATGTGCGTACGCCAGGCATGAAGTTGGCGTGGAGCTGCGCAGATTCCCACGTTCATTTCATTGTTAGTAAATCCAAACGTGAGCGATTCTGAGCGTGAAACCTGGCGTACGCAAAGTTTTTTTTGCGTACGCAGCGTTGATACATGAGGCCCCTGGAGTTTTCAAAAATGCATGGGTAATTAATTTGATAATTAATTCAGTTATAACCATGTAATATTCAACTTTAATTTATTTATAAAACACACACACACACACACACACTCATTGGCGTTACACTATTCTCAATTCGGCAGAATTCAAATGAGCCATTTTAATCTAGATTAATTCCAAGATTAATCTAGATTTAAAAGATTAATCTATGCCGACCTATAAATATATATATAGATAGATGGATAGATAGATGAATGGATGGATGGATGGATGCATGGCGAGAGAGAGAGAGAGTGAGAGATGGATGGATGGATGGATGCATGGCAAAAGAGAGACACAGAGAGAGATAGATGGATGGATGCATGGCGAGAGAGAGAGAGTGAGAGATAGATGGATGGATAGATGGATGCATGGCAAGAGAGAGACACTGAGAGAGAGATAGATGGATGGATGGATGGATGGATGGATGGATGCATGGCAAGAGAGAGAGAGAGAGATGGATGGATGGATGGATGTTCAGACAGATGGCCAGACAGGCATGAGATGGGACATGGATGGATGGATGGATGGATGGATGCATGGCAAGCGAGAGAGAGAGAGAGATGGATGGATAGATGGATGGCCAGATAGATGGATGGATGCATGGCGAGAGAGCGAGGGAGAGAAAGAGAGAGAGAGACAGAGAGAGAGAGAGAGAGAGAGGGATGGATGGATGAAATAAAAACAAATAAGACTTTCTCCAGAAGAAAAAAAAATATCAGACATACTGTGAATTTGAATTAATTCAAAACATTAAATGAACCATTATTCAAATAGTTAAATTATACATACTTTAATAATATCATTGTAACAAAGAAGGACTTATACACATTGTTGATATCAGTGAGATGCTTTAAAGAAGTAACGTTATAGGTACCTTTTTGCAACTTCAGTGTATCGAAGTTGAAGTTTCGATTGGAGATCTTGCTGTTAAGAAACGGAAAAAAAATGAATGTTGATTTACTACATTATTAAATTAGGGTGTAGTTGGTTTTAAATTTGCACATTCACTCATTTTAGAATAGTATTCACTTATGGTGCATTACTTTGAATGTTTGGTCTGAAATAGCATGTGTATATGCCTTCAAAACAACATTAGCACTGTTTCACTGACTGTGAACAATGTTGTACTTTGACAGTCTTTGGCAGCTAATATGATCTCACTGCTTCGAATTTGCAAAGATTACTTTACTGAAATGATATTAAGAAGTTACAGTTCAACTGTGCAAATATAAAATAGAGGTAAAATTGGTTTTATCTTTGCACATTTGTTCATTTAGAAGTCTATATATTGTTTACCATGTTACTTTGAATATTCGATCGGAATTAGCATGCAAGTATGACTTGTAAACAACAATAACACTATCTAATTCACTGTGAACAATGCTGTGCTTTGATAGTCATTTGCTGCTAATATGATTTCCCTATTTAGAATTTGTAAACAATACTTTTCTAAAATTCTATTATTAAGGAGAAAGTCTGAATATCTCAATATAAAACCAACTTTACCTCTATAAATATATAACCAGCTTTACTTCAATAATGATGAACGAAATGTCAAGCTATCTAGACATGAAAACAACCAGTAAAGACTGGCTGAAATGCAAGCTCGCTATAACAGTCATTTACACATGTATTTCCATCCTTTTTCACATTATATCGAAACGTTGGATTTCGTGCGTCTTATACTGCTCGACTGATAAACAACCAAATCGTCTTTTTCTCACCCCTGACAGATAATTCCTCAGCCTCTGGATAATTTTCGTAGCCGTCGCCATACTTGATGTCAAGGTGAAATTGCCGTTCACTGTGAAGCTGATGCAGAATCAGTTCTGACTAAACCAAACCTTATGCCGATAAAAAGAATTTACGGACGTAAACTGATCGTGGATCAGATTATTGACTGTACTGTAGCAGGGAAATGACCAGCGGACCGGATGTTCTTATTCTCTGGTTCAGTCATGGACTGTTTCTGCGACAGAAACGGAGTAAAGCGCCACCTGTCGTATCGAACGCAGATAACTGCCCAGTCAATTTATCAAATGACCATCATTTTACAGTTTTTCTCAGTCGCTTTGGTGCATTTCTCACAACACCAGTGCATTTCTGCACAACAGTTAATGCACTGAGGACTGGTGAAATGATTCCAAGATTAAATTACATTTTAAAATATATGCTAAAATACATAAAAATAAAAGCTTTAATAAAAGAAAATAACAAAAGAAATCATACAGTTTTTCTCAGTCGCTTTGGTGCATTTCTCACAACACTGTTTACATTTGCACAACAGTTAATGCATTTCTCAAAACAATTAGTCGTTTGTGCACATCCTAGTAGCTGTTTCTCATTCTTTCAAACAAACTGCAAATGCTTATGGACATGCATCAATTGCTTTCAGACAACTCTCTGCTGTTTATAACATTATCATTTGCTTATGTCATGTCAGTCAAAATGAACTAAACTTGTGAATGCTGAATAGTCATTCCATATAAAACTAATAGTCCTCATTGCATTACTCGAGTCATTACATACAAAAATGTTGAACCAGTTGTCAAAATCTGTCTAGCAAATTTTATAAAACCAAATTTAAATCTTTATTTTCCTGAAAATGTCTTTAAAATTGAAAAATTTGATGAATGATTTACAGACCTGTGTATGTTGTAGGTTCAATTCCAATATGTTCTGCAATATTGTTTACAGTTGTGCTCAGCTCTATCCAAAGGGAGTTTATGTTTGTTGTAGATAAGGGTGTGTTTATTCTTTTGCACAATGCTGTGAATAAATTAGAATTGAAACAAGCATCTGCAGTAAAAATGTGAAACATACATATTCAGTGTCTTGTACTGAGATGTCTCACTACAGTTTTTCTCAGTCGCTTTGGTGCATTTCTCACAACACTATTTACATTTGCACAACAGTTAATGCATTTCTTAAAACAATTAGTCATTTGTGCACATCCTAGTAGCAGTTTCTCATTCCTTTTTAACAAATTGCAAATGCTTTCGGACATACATCAATTGCTTTCAGACAACTCTCTGCTATTTATAACATTATCATTTGCTTATGTCATGTCAGTCAAAATGAACTAAACTTGTAAATGCTGAATAGTCATCCCATATAAAACTAATAGTTCTCATTTCATTACTTGAGTCATTACATACAAAAATGTTGAACTAGTTGTCAAAATCTGTCTAGCAAATTTTATATTAAACATTTTTAATCTTTATTTTTCTGAAAATGTCTTCTAAATTGAACAATTTCATAAATGATTTACAAACCTGTGTATGTTGTAGGCTCAGTACCAATATGTTCTGCAATATTGTTTACAGTTGTGCACAGCTCTACCCAAAGAAAGCTTATGCTTGTTGAAAATAAGGGTGTGTTTATTCTTTTGCACAATGCTGTGAATAAATTAGAATTGCAACAAGCATCTGCAGTAAAAATGTGAAACATACATATTCAGTGTCTTGTACTCAGATACCTCACTAAATGCAGTGATGTCTAACTTTGCTGTAGTTTTCAAATGGCTGTGCAAATAGTCTATAGTGCTGTCTTGAGCATTTTCAGGAAGTGTCACCAACATCTGACTTTTTTGCATTGAAAAAATGTCCAGAGTAAACTCATAATGAAAACATGACTAAGCCATTTGACTATCTTGTTCATAAACAATGGTGGCAGGACTTTTCATTTTGATGACACTGACACTTTGATTGTCATGAATACTTGCTTTTGAGGAATGAACTATCCATTTTGAGCATGTGACGCGCTTTTGCAGTTTATCAGCTAGGTTTTGCAGTTTGTACTAATTGTTTTGAGAAATGCATTAACTGTTGTGCAGAAATGCACTGGTGTTGTGAGAAATGCACTAAAGCGACTGGGAAAAACTGTAAAATCTTCTTGTTTTGTTGTATTTTTGATTAGTGCAGCCATGGTGCAAAAAAGACACCTCATCATAGAAAGAAATTATAATAATGTATTCTTATTATTTTGTAAAATGTTTTTAGTGCTGAAGTCCAACTCATTTCCCTAAAGCCCATTCACTTTCAAATTTCTGCCATTGCCAGAATTCATTCATACGTTCGTTAGTTAGTTTGTTCGTTCGTTCATTCATTCAATCATTTATTTATTAAGTAGGCTCTTATGTATGTACAGTTGTAGCTCAGTAACTCATTTCTAATAACTGATTTCTTTTATCTTTGCCATGGTGACATAAAATATTGTTACAAGATATTTTTCAAGACACTTCAGCTTAAAGTGACATTTAAAGGCTTAACTAGATTAATTAGGTTAACTAGGCAGGTTACGGTAATTAGGCAAGTTATTGTATAACGATGGTTTGTTCTGTGGACTATCAAAAAATATATAGCTTAAAGGGGCTAATAATATTGACCTTGAAATGGCTTAATAAAAACTGTTTTTATTCTAGCCGAAATAAAACAAATAGGACTTTCTCCAGAAAGAAAATATATTATCAGACATACTGTGAATTTTTTTCTTGCTCTGTTAAACATCATTTGGGAAATATTTTTAAAGGAAAAACAGTTTCAAGGGGGGGCTATATATATATATATATATATATATATATATATATATATATATATATATATATATATATATATATATATATATATATATATATATATATATATATATATATATATATATATATATATATGTAGGGGGGGGGGGGGGCTAATAATTCTGACTTCAACTGTATATTTGTAACTCTAATGTATGTAATGTCAGTATATAATCCCTTTTAATGCACATGGTTCAAAAACAAGCATGGTTTTCCTGACAAAAGTGACTTTATATACTGAAAAGGGCTTTTTAAGTGAGAGTTTACCCTAAAATGACAGTATACTGGCCACTTTAAGCTTCCAAAGCTTTATGAGTTAAATCTTTCTGTTAATAGCAAAAGACGATATTTTGAAGAATGTTGAAAACTGTTAACCACCCATAGTAAGAAAAATAGCCTATATTGGTCATGGTCAATGAGCTTCCATCATTCTTCAAAATGTCTTCTTTTGAAAAAGAAAGGGTGCTCAAAAATTTCTGAGTAATAAACAAGCATTTATTTGTTTGTAATAGATTAAAATACATAATTCGAAGATGCAGCCTTTTCTTTAGTAATAAGCCAGTATAACATTTTGACAATTAGTTTCATCTGTCAGTCTGTCTTCAGGAAAGTAGCTTATGAGAATGTGGGAACACTGTACAGCCGATATTAACCGGGTTTCTTGGGGACTTCCAGTCTGAGATATCCAATATTCATGCCTGACTCAGATAGGCCTAAATGTAGAGCTCTTGAACTTGAAGATTACGACGTAGTTACATGGGTGGGAAAAAATCAGGACCACCCATTCAATGCCCTGCCGCCAGGAGAAGACATGCAGCGCCGCCCATGAGCGCGAGCGATACAGTCAAGCAGATTATTTCAACGGGATCCCGCCACAGACTGGTAATCATTTACTAACTACGGAATGAACGGTAACTACGGGTCGACCGACGGCTGAAATCAATCAGCACAAACCCGGATTAATAACGCGCAAAGAAAAAGAAGCAGCAGCAAACTTCATCCATAGGGTAAGGCAGAGTTTTGTGACTTCCGAAAGTAGCTGGACGTAATTCTTCAACAGACTCTCCTCAGGTAGTTGAAGGTTTATGTTGAACATCATCGCTTGAACGATGATAAAGTTTAACTGTCACTGGTAAAAGTCATGTTGGCCATGTTGTACTGCAATACATGAGGGGTGGGTTGTGTGACAAGGAGTCTTATGTCTGTCTTGTTGTGGCTCGCTCGTTTAGGGTTTCAGAAGTAAGCTAAATTATTGAGGTAAAGCTGATTTATATCGCATATGCATTCATTTTAAACTATCTACTTGTGACACGGTGCCTATTTTAGCCTTCTTTAAATATTCGTCCTGAAATAAGCATGACTTTAAAACAACAAAAGCACTATTTAATTGACTGTGAACAGTGTATTAGCTGATGATATGATTTCCCTGCTTAGAATTTGCAAATGATACTTTTCTGAAATTTCATTATCAAGGAGAATGTCTGAATATGCGAATATAAAATCAATTTTAGATCAGTGATTTATTTAATGCAAAATTTTTAATTAATGTCAAGATTAAAAAACAGTGTGTGTAGTAGGCTATGCAGTACATAAAATGGTTAAAATTGTGTTATATATATATATATATATATATATATATATATATATATATATATATATATATATATATATATATGTCAAAATTATTAGCCACTTTAAGCTAATTTTGTTTTGATAGTCTACACAATAAACAATCGTTATGCAATAACTTGCCTAAATAATCTAGTTCAGCCTTTAAATGTCACTTTAATCTGTACAGAAGTGTCTTGAAAAATATCTAGTCAAATATTTGTTGTCATCATTGCAAAGATAAAATAAATCAGTTATTTGAAATGAGTTATTAAAACTATAATGTTTAGAAATGTATTAAAAAATCTCTCCGTTAAGCAGAAATTGGGAAAAATTTTAATTTTAGAGCAATTCCAGCTTTATAGATGTGACATTTGCAGTAAAATCTCAAAACATAAATTCACAGAGAAAGTATATGTTAACATTATATTTTTTATATATATTATATATATAATATTTTATATATATTTTCCGTATACAACATACTTTGTAGAAATTCTTTGAATTAAACCGCACAACCCAAAAGAAACAGTGCTGATCAACAGGACAAGAGTTGACTCTCTATACAACAAACACTATGGATTTAGTTTAAAATATTTTATTTAAAGATTTAATAATTTTTTATTTAGTTTTGCATTTATCAGGTCAAAGCTCTTTTATGAATGAGAAATCTCTCCGTTATGGATGTGACATGTGATATTGGCATGTGTGTGCTTTTGGTTAATTAAACATTAACAAAGACATTTTTTAGTATTTTTAAAGCATTGTAAAATACTTGCTTACACAAAAAATGTAGAAAGGATTTTGCTATTTTGGCATAAACTTTATTTTTTTCATTGCAAGGTTGACAATTGCATGGAATTGCTCATATATACAGTGAATCCGGAAAGTAATCATAGCACTTTACTTTTTTTTTTCACATTTTTTATGTTATGCTCAAAAAAAAATAAAGGTACAGGAGCTGTCACTGGGGCAGTACCTTTATAAAAGATACATAGTGGCACCCACATAGTCCACAGTGGTACCTAAAAGGTGCAAATTACTACCCACATGTACCTAAAAAGTACCTTTTAGGTACCATTATAAACCCTTCAGGTACAAATAAGGCACTGCCCCAGTGACAGCTCCTGTACCTTTATTTCTGAGAGTGTACAGCCTTATTCCAAAATGTATTAAATTCATTTATTTCCTCAAATTTCTACACAATACCCCATAATGACAATGTGAAAAAGATTTTTTTTTTTTAATTTGTTGCAAATTTATTAAAAATAAAACCTAAAAAATCACATGTACAGAAGTATTCACAACCTTTTCTCAATACTTTGTTAATGCCTCTTTGGCAGCAATTACAGCCTCAAGTCTTTTTAAATATGAAGCCACAAGCTTGGCACATCTGTCTTTGGGAAATTTGCCCATACCACATAGCAGTACCTCTCAAGCTCTATCAGGTTGGATGGGAAGTGACGGTATACAGCCATTTACAGATCTCTCCAGAGATGTTCAATAGGATTTAGGTCTGGGCTCTGGCTGGGCCAGTCAAGAACATTCAATGAGTTGATGTAAAGCCACTTCATTGATATTTTGGTGGTATGCTTTGGGTCATTGTCCTGAGGTAAGATGAACCGTCGCCCCAGTCTGAGGTCATGGATGTCTCTGTACATTGCTGCATTCATCTTTCCCTCTATCCTGATTAGTCTTCTAGTTCCTGCTGCTCAAAAGTTTTTTTTTAATATTTCCCAAATTATGTTCAAAAAGAGTGAGGAAATTTTCACAGTATGTCTTAGATTATTTTTTTCTTCTGGAGAAAGTCTTATTTGTTTTATTTAGGCTAGAACAAAAGCAGTTTTTATTTTTTTAAACACCATTTTAAGGACAAAATTATTAGCCCCTTTAAGCTATATTTTTTTCCGGTATTCTACAGAACAAACCATCGCCAGACAATACCTAATTAACCTAGTTAAGCCTTTAAATGTCACTTTGATCTGTATAGAAGTGTCTTGAAAAATATCTAGTCAAATATTATTTAATGTCATCATGGCAAAGATAAAAAAAAATCAGTTATTAGAAATGAGTTATTAAAACAATGATGTTTAGAAATGTGTTTAGAAAAAAATCTCTCCGTTAAACAGAAATCGGGGAAAAATAAGTAAATAAAATTTGGTACTAAAAACAAGCGACAGAAATTGTTTCAACTTAAATAATAAAATTTAATTAATTAATGTGATTTGTGCAATACTTGAAATGCAATAGCCAATAAATAAATGTTAAAATAGTCAAATAAATCAATTGAAAATGCACACACACACACACACAAACAAAAAAAAGTTCAAAATCAATAAATGCATGACTGTTCCACTAATCGAGTGTGCTGTCCTCCGCTATTAAACTACGTTTAACAATGCACTATATTGTTTTTCCAAAAAAGTACCTGAAAATTAAACTTGCCTCCGAAACACTAAAGAATCACATGCCTCAGGTCTCATGATTCTATTTACAGGCCCGTCTGGGTCGCCCCTCCACCATCCGCTCCTCTCCTTCCCCATAAAGTGAAATCTGACATTCAGGACGATGCTAAAATTAATATCGTCTTCTGATTAATAAAGTTCACTCTGAGGCTGATGATGATGAACATTGAGGATTTTAGTAGATGCCTGTATAGCCTCTTTAAGTCCATGTGATCAAATTCATATAGATATAAATAGTAAAAAAAAAAATCTGTTCTGTTTTCATTTCATCCCATTCAAAAGTGCAGCTTTACACTGTAAATGTGGTTTAAAACATTCCTCTCTTTAATCTAATATGGTTAAATAGTGGTACATGATTTTGACTCGCTTCCAGGACAAGAGTTCTTTGTTCGTCCCTCAACGTGGTTCATGTATAAGTTGTTTACAGGGGAATAGAGTCTGCAGTGTTCATCGAAACTTTCTCTTTATCTAAATCACATTATTTGTCGGTATGTGGATAATTGTTAAGCCACGGGAGATAGAGGTCTGTCTGAAAATGTTAAACCAATTAGCACGTCACAAACTGTTTAAATGAGCATAGAAAATGTTGCGCACGTCTGGCTTTGACTGACTTTCTGACTTTGTTTTATCTGTAGGTTGAGAGTTGATGCACATGGGTTTGTTTGTCTAAAGCTGCTTTTTGTAAGAGGCAGCCAACAAAATAACTAGATTAGGAAGCAAGTGAAGATGAGACATTGATTTCGGTGATAAACTGAAGTTTAATCAAAGTCAGACAAAAGTTATTAGCCTCTACAGGAAGTTAAACTAGGGTCAGAAGTTTGGATTTATTACCTTTTATTGTTTTTTTTTAAGTATCTTCTGCATTTTGTTTGATAAAATACTATTAAAATAGCGCGTTTACATATTATTTTTACAATGTAAAACTCAACAGTCAACTTTATCAAATGAAAGCAGTGTAGTTAACTCAGAGTTGACTTAAAGGTAATTCTACTCATCTGAAAAGAGTTTTGAACTCAGTGTTGAAGGTAAACAGTTAATAAAATACCTCATTACTTTAATTTAAAAGAAGAAAGTTTACAGTTTTCATATAGAATAGCTTTAACTCAAATGGTTTGTTGCAATCGTTTTCCTTAAACGGTTTGAGTTGCCCTAACTTATTGGGTTTTACAGTACTCAGTTGGTTTGAGTTCTAATCTCTTCATTTATCGGATTTTACTGTGCTCAAATTGCTTCATTTACTCAAAGGATTTAAAGGAGTCCCTGTTATGAACGACTCGTTCACTTATTAGACAATAATACAAGTTTCTAGCACCGCAGTGTCTTGTTGTCATATTTCATTTACACTGTTTGCTTATTTTATTTAACAAAACTAGCATAAGCCTAGTATTTAGTTCGAGTTGGAGCTACTTTTCCATATGAACAGCACTGTATTATCATCAATAGCGTTATCTGTTAAGCACAAAAGTTTGTAACTTACAAAAAACGAAATCTTACCTATGAAATGTTACGCCTTTACACTTTGTTTGCGCGATACCACACCTAAAGTTCAGCATCTTCACGTTGGCTTTAGGTCTTGACTAGTGCGGTTGAATGACCTGGAAGCTCTGTACAAATGTGACGGCGCTATTGACGCAGGCTCAGGGTCTATATGTGATATCTACAGTAGTGTATCTATGGAATCAGATTAGACCATTAGCATCGAGCTCAAAAATGAGTTACAGCAGTAGTTGAAGCATGTGCTAAGACTGATGGGAAATGAAAAGTTGCTATTTCCTAGGCTGTTATGGCTAGGAATTATACTCTCATTCTGGCATGATAATCTAAAATTTGCAGACGCAATGATGTTAAACAGTTTATGAAAGTAGTCCTCAGCTAGCTAACTACATAACAGTGCTGTTTAATACCATTTCTCATGCTGTGAGAAAATATAGCAA